GTCCAGTGTGGCCCCACCCTACCTCCGGATGTCATGAATTGAAAGAAAAAACGTGAATCTACACCATCTAAGGATGCTTTCATATAAAGATGATCAATCATGGCTTTGCTGTTCTTGATTATTGAAGAATTTTCCTATATATTCCCGTTTAAAATTTTGATCGATCATTGTGGTCCAACCCTAGTACGCGGGGTTCATGATTTAAATAAAATTGAATCGACACCACTTGAGAATGGTTTCACATAAATGCTACAGATATGGCTTTGCTGTTTTGATAAGGTGATTTTTAAAGATTTTCCATATCAATTCTCATATAAAAATTTGACCGTCCATCGCGGCCCCACCCTACCCATGGGTAATAATTTGAACAAACTTTAATCTACACTACCTAAGGGTGCTTCCTTAGCCCAATGGGCTTTGAGAAAAGGATTTTTTAAAATGAATGTTGAAGTTAAAGATTATCGAATGAATATGTAATGCAACATACAAACTATGTATGTGAGAAAAATTATTCATGTATTTGAAAAATTCATTCATTCTGATTCGTTTTTATCCTCTAATTTTATTCTAAAACAAGACGGCAACATAGCGAAGATTAAACTTTTCTTAAATGCAAATTTAATTTATTGGTATCAAAAGTAGGGTATTTCTCACCGGAAATAAATTGTGGAATATGAAAGTAGGCCAAAGTTAAAGTTTTTTTTTTATAAGTAAGGAAATCTTCAAGGTCAAGGTCATTGGTATCCAATGACAGGTCTTGCCACAAAAAATAAATATGTAAAGTAAGGAAGCCCTAGCCCTAACCGTTTAGAAGTTATGGCCAAGGTTAAACGTTTTTAAAAGAAGGAGAAACTCCAAGGTCAAGTCAAAGGTCTTGTTATCAAACGAAAGGTCTTGTCACAAAAATTAAATATGTACAGTATGAAAGCACTAGCCCTAACCCTTTAAAAGTAATTGCCAGGGTTTGCTTTTTAAAAGAAGGTCAAACTCTAAGGTCAATGTAAAAGGGTCAAAGTTCTCGGTATTCAATGAAGGGTCTTTTCACAAGGATTACATAAGTGAAGTATGAGATCACTAACCCGTAGCATTCAAAAGTTATGGCCAGGGTTAAAGTTTTTTTCACAAGTACAAAAATCTCCAAGATCAAGGTCAAAAAGCCAAGGTAATCGGTATCCAGTAAAATGTCTTGCCACATAAAGTACATATGTAAAGTATGGAATCCCCAGCCCTTACTGTTCAAAAGTTATGGCCAACGTTAAATTTTCAAAAGTAGTCAAACTCCCAAAGTATTGAGGGCCATGTCACCCTCCAATACGGGTCTTGTTCTATTTTAGAGTTTTTTTTTAAAAAAAAGATCAATATGTAAAGAATTTATGCCCCCGTAAACAAAGTTTCGGAGGTATACAGTTTTTGTCATGTCCGTCCGTCTGTCTAGCTGTCTGTCTGTCTGTCTGTCTGTCTCTCTGTCTCTCTGTTTGCCAGCAAAAACTTTAACCTTGCCCATAACTTTTGATTTAGTGGAGCTATGACTTTCACATTTCACTTGTGTATTCCTTGTGACAAGATCTTTTTGGGGTACCACTAAATTTGAACTTTTGACCTTGACCTTGGAGTTTGACCCACTTTTACACAAAAATTCCAAACTTTTACATTGGCCATATCTTTTGAACAGTAGAAACCAGGACATTAATATTTCACATATATATTTTTTTGTAGAAAGACCTTTCATTTGATACCGACAACCATGACCTGTTGACCTTGACCTTGGAGTTTTTTTTCATGTGAAAAAAACTTTAACCTTGGCCATGACTTTTGTACGGTAAGGGATAGGGTTTTCATGCTTCACATATATAATTCTTGTGAAAAGACCCTTCATTGGATACCAAGAACTTTGACCCTTTGACCTTGACCTTTGAGATTGACCTACTTTAAAAAAACAAATCTTGACCATAACTTTTGAAGGGTTCGGGCTAGTGCTTTCATACTTTACATATTTCACCCTTTTGACAAGATCTTTCTTTGGGTACCACCAAATTTGACCCTTTGACATTGACCTTGGAGTTCGAACTACTTTTCAAAATTAGAAACCTTGACAATAACTTTTGAAGGGTTAGGGCTAGGGCTTCTATACTTCACATATGTTTTTTTATTGGCGAGACCTTTCATTAAATACCAATAACCTTGACCTTGGAGATTTCCGTACTTATGAAGAATTTTTAACTTTGGCCATAACTTTTGAACGCGAAGAACTAGTGATATCATGCATCACATATGTAATCCTTGTGACAAGACCTTTCATTTGGTATCAAGAATTATGACCCTTTGACCTTGACCTTTGAGTTAGACCTACTTTTGAAAATCGGTAACCTTGGCCATAACTTTAGAATGGTTAGGGCCAGGGCTTCCATACTTCACATATGTATTCTTTGTGGCAAGACCTTTCATTGGATGCTAATTGCTTTGACCTTAGAGATATGAAAAAACTTAAATCTGGCCTACTTTCATATTTCATAATTGTATTTCCAGTGAGAATACCCCACTTTAGATACCAATATATTAAATTTGCATATAATAAAGTTTAATCTTCGCTTCATTGCCATACGGGGGCATCAGTGTTTCACAAACACATCTTGTCTTTTTTTTTTTTTTTTTACACAATTCCAACTGCAACAAGGATCATGCTTCTATTTGCGTTAAACTTCTTCTTTGATAATATAAGAAATAAGCAAAAATGGTTTTAACGATATATTTATGTATATGTATGGAAAAGAAAAGTGAACAGTGATATATAATATGTATTTTCCCCTTCCTTTTTTATTGGATATAATTCTGTGATTAAATATTGGGAAAAAATTGTTACCAACCCAGAGAGCTCCTGGCACCCCAGGTGAGGGCTTCTGCTGAAGTTTTACCTCAATGTTATGTTGTACGTTATTGAATAAATGACGAATAAAAAAAAAATGCCATTAACTTTTCAATGATTCAAAATCATCTCCTCTTGGAAGAGAATGTGGCTCTTTATTTGAACAAATTTGCACCCCCTTTACCCAAGGATACTTTCTGGCAAGTTTGGTTGAAATTGGCAAAGTGGTTCGTGAGAAAAAGATTTAAGGTAGGATTCTTCTCTGGTTTCCGAGGAGATGAAATATTCAATGTATATTTGCTTATATATCTTATACATTTAGGTGAAAGAGATTTAAAAGACCATATTTTTCTTTCCTCATCACAACTTTAAAATAGAATAGAAATGGTAAATTGTGTTCGAAAACTAGCAGGGACTATATTTTTGGCGGAATGGTGGCTTATGAAAATATCTTCTTTTCTGCCTCTCAAAATTTTCACAGAACTACGAATTTAGTTATACTTTTTACACAATCAGAGACTAGAAGAATTTTTCAAATGTTACCTACATTTAAAATAAGGAACTAAAGTTTCAAAATATATCAAAGAAATATGAATTTCCAAACAATCTACAATTATGTTAGGTTTTACAAGCTTCAACTCTAAGTACAGATATGAACCAAAAATCCATAGGAAGTGTTATCACTCTCTTACTAAACGGTCAAAACTTTTTGTTTTTGTATCATTTTGTATCTCTATATGACTGCTTTACCATATGTGAAAATAAGAAAAATTTAAATATAGGGCGCATATAAAAAATAACTTAAATATCCTAAAAAATTAAGAAAAAAGAGAAAATCGGATTAGCGAAAATCCATTTTATTTAACTATTTGCTTCAATTTGGTAATATCATCTTATAGACCCTATATGGTAATATCTTTTTATGCAAAAAGAAAAACATTTAATATTTTGAAAAAGAAGACCCTCTTTCATGATTGGATATAGTTATTTTTTATAATTAATGTCCAGGAAAAAGGTAATGACCTTGACCTTATCTTGACTCTAATATATAACGGTCAAAACTGATCTTACTGATACCATCACTTAGTAATATTGTCTTCTTGAGTCTGTGAAAATTTCATTAATTTTTAAATACAAGAAATACAGTTTTGTGTGAGAAAGAATCCTACCTTAAGACAATGCCAACAACAATAACAACGACGACGACGCCAACGATGACAGCTAACGGACAAGTTTTAAACAGAAAAGCCCACCTGAGCATTCGACTCAGGTGAGCTAAAACAAATTACATAATTATACACACGGACATTTCCGCCAATCTCTAAAGGAAAATTAAACCACTGTACTACATCTTATAACTGAGTATGTGTTGAGCATACATGACCTTTGTGTGTTTGATAATGAATGATGAAAGTGCTAGTTTGTTGGAATCGGAATTAAAGCCTAATTAGTCGATGGCGTACTTGTTCTATTTGTGTTTGTTTTTAAATAATGGCCTTTGAACCATACATATATGTTTGAGATCGAACTTTCAGTCATTTTTAAAAAAAGATCATTCTTTACTCCGAAAATGAAACAAATATTAATCATTTTTGGTTACAGTACTTAATTAACAATTATAACTGATCAATTTCATTTATACCCTTATATAAGTTGACCTTCTAGTCATACGCGTAGGGTCAGAAACTTGAATTTTGTGAAATCATACAGAAATATTGACGGTTTGTTAAAAGTTAATTTGATACAGGTGCCTATATGCAAAGCATATCAAATCCTATGTAATTTGAAAAGAATAAGTGTGAACAATCTACAAGTTCAAAACTTAAAAATATTAGATAAGGGGAAATGTACCGGAAGGTGATTGGTAATTATAATAATTTTTTAATGTTTTGGATGTTTCAATCTCCGTACCATTGAATTTGTAATTGGGTTATTAAGACTTGAAAAAGAGATTGAAGCTGTTTGGCAAAGTATTAATTTAATCTTTTAAGTTTTGGACCTTGAGAATACTTTAAATGAAGGAAAAAGCAGAAATGTATGTTGCTGATGACATCGAACTTGTTTACAAATGTAACTAAAAATGTATACACACACTTCCTTCCTCATTTTGACGATGAAAAGATCTTATGATTCTGTTCTTATGCTTTGTTGAAAAACAGGAAGAAAACAAAATGGGAAGTGTGATGTGGCAAACGTGTTGCATTGTAGGAAAACAAGCCGTCATGATATGTGCAAATCATATTTGTTTGGAAGTTTTATTTTGTAAGTTTGTGGTGTTGGTTAAAACAAAATCGTAGGTAAAAATGAATAGTTGCTCTTTCTATTTTTAAAAAAAAATATGTTTTTCTTCATAGGTCTGATGATGACTGTATGGAATGCAGGGGCAATCGAAAATGATACTGAGTATGATAAATAAGATAGAAATTTCTTAACTTTTATAAACACTATATTTCCTTGATATGATACTGGTAAGTTCTTATTTTAAGGAAAACATATTTATGTTTGCATGAGACACCTTGCCAAAAAATTTATATTTCTTTTTTATAATGAAAGACCCGAGAATTCATTACATAAAACGATTAGAAAGCTTACAGAAGTATGGAACAGTTCCTGCACTTCAGACCTCCTAAACACCAACAGATCTGATAATGGTAAGTAAGATCTCCATAACTATTCAGTCTCTCTTTCATAAAAATAAACCTTTTTTAACTTTCTCTATCTCTCCCTTTCTCTTTGTCTCTCTCATTATTGATATGTATTTTTCACTTTTAAGAATTATTTGATCCAATTAAAACTATGTGTATAATCAAATTCTTTCCTCAGAAATACTGATCATTTCCCATTACATGTAACAAATTTCAGCAGAGTTGGAAAGAAAAAATCTTTGCGACAAAATACGGTGCCTCGGTGGAATGGGACCTGGGTCTGAAGGTAATATTTGTACGAAAGCTCAGAAGGCTCATTCGAGATTCGAGTTTCAAAATACAGATTCGAAATTCGAGTTTCGAAATTCAAGATCCAAGTTAACCAATCAAAAGCGGGTTCAACATTTGATTACTCCCCTTTATTATGTTTTACACAAAGAAATCGTTGAGTGTATTTATAACAAATGGGTCATTTGCTAAAATGAAAATGCAAGAAAAAATGTTTTATGTATCAAAACAAAATAAAAATAAAATTTGGATTACATTTTGAAAAAGAAATATAAAATCTTATTTTTCTAATTAATAAAAACAGTAAATACGTATAATATAGAATATTATATGGTCTTATCGTCGATTTGCGGATTAAGTAGGTCGACTACTTTTTTTTATTAGATCCTTGATGAGGGAGAAAATTATTTTTGATTAGATATGAAACATTAATTAAGAATCTCTCTACACTGCACAGTAATTCAAAGGTGTATATTTCATTAAATTTATAAAGGGTACATTTGTGTGATGAGACTTGACTGCTGAATCGAACTGTAGCGTTACATGGTTTTACTAGCATAATTTAGTCTTTGACCATAACGTAGGAGATTAAAATATAAAACCATAACGATATAGTTCTCCGGATAATTTAGACTCTTTTACTATCTCATCTAAGTACTACACGTATTTGATATCAGATAAAATAAATACCGTATTTATTTTATTTCATATTGCCAATCTGTATTCGAGGTATAATGTTTAATTAATCCAAGAAATCAAACCCTTAGACCAAGATAAGTAATTGAAAACTAATTTGTATGTATTTCCTCTATTAGGAAAACGAACGGGAGTTTTGTTCAACAATACTTCGTTGCCTTTCAAGTTTTACAAAGTAACATTTTCATTGTGTTTTGAAAAATTGGCAGTTGGGGGGGGGGGTGTTGTTATTATTAGTCTTTAGACTCATCAACCCTGTAAACATAGTAGACAATAAAAAAATATATATACTCCTGATATATTTAATCGATTTAATATTTAAGACGCTATAAAATAAATTGAATTATATCTTGCTGGTCAAAAATCCAATAAGTATTTAAATTTCCTTTTAATATATATAACATTCATTCTTGCATTGTTATTTAATTAAATGACCCATTTGTTATAAATATATTCAACGACTTCTTGATAGTAAAAACATAATAAAGGGGAGTAATCAAATGTTGAACCCGCGTTTGATTGGATAGTCTGGATCTTGAATCTCGAAACTCGAATTTCGAATCTCGTATTTTGAAACTCGAATCTCGAATGAGCCTTCTTGGCTTTCGTATATTTGCCTATCTTGGAACATTTCGGTCGTTGTTGATGGAGACGAATACAATGTTGTCTCAAGGCACAGGGGCCGGTAACATACTTTTTTGATTTTACGCAATCACTATATATATATACAAAAATACATATAGTGATTACGTAAAATCAAATACAGTAAGTTACAGGCCCCTGTGTCTCAAGGGTTTATTGCCATCTCGATGAGGAAATTAAAACCAGATTTGATAACACCACAAGTAAGTTCGCAGAATTAATTCAGACTTGCCTATTTTAATGGATATACCCAATTTCTGCTTGCCATTTGATGTAACAATACAATTCCAATTTTCGTAATAAAAATATTTTAATTCATTTAGCTCTTTTATGAAGTAATATGTGCATATGTAAAACTCTAATTCTTCTATATGACAGATGAAGCCGAAGGTTTCTAAAATAAATGTCAAACTGTATTGTCAAATCTAAGGGATGAAAATGTTGGAATACACCCGTGAAATATAAAAAAGCTATACCATTGACCGTTCAACTAATTAAATAAAGTTTTTCACAAGTATGTATAAAACCAAGTTCAAAGCTTGAAAATAAATACATTGTAGGCTCAAATGAACGTGTTTTCACAGGAAATATGCCTGTGAAATATGAAAGGTCTAGCACAACCCTAGTGGCAAAGGTTAAAGATTTTTAAAAGTAGGTCAAACTCCGAGGTCGAGGTCAAAATGCATCCACAGGAATGTCTTGACACTAGAAAAACACATATTATTTAAATTCCGAGCTTCAAACATTTAAATTTTCTTACAGAGGTTTCAGTGTTTTAGAGTAGGTGAAACTCCATGATTAAGACCAACAGGCCAAATTCCTTGTATTTAAAAATGTCTTAAGGAATGAACATATAAAATGCATTTTCAGTATATGGAAGCCATAGATTTCAACAAACAAAAGACTTTGATGGTAAACAAACAAACAGACAGGCGCGAAGTTAAACAGAAAAAATACAGAAAAACACACAGAAAAGACAGAAAAAATACGATAACACCCCTCTCCGATTTTTTTCTAAAATAGGGAATTCAACTGTTTCATTTATAACTTTAAACATTTTCTTCTGTTTTAATTGACTTTCATTATTCTTTCCACCTACAACATCAACTTTAACTAGTGCAGTGGTTAGGGCGTCTGCTCTAGAGTCGCTAAGTCAAGAGCTGATCCTTACGTTGCGGGTTCGAATCCCACTGTGGGACCTGTAGACTGGTCCTGCTGATGAGGCCGTATAAAGCGAAGTCCTGTGTCGCAGTATGTGCTGACATGAAAAAAGATTCTTCCCTGCTCAATGGCCCTGAGTGCCGAGTATATGTCAAAATTTGCAGCTCTCCACCGGCACGTGGTGGGCTCTCCATATGAGTGAAAATTCTCAATAGGGACGTTAATCCACAATCAATCAGTCAACCAACTTTAACTTGCTTTAACTTGCACTTTGGGATTGTTCAGAAAAGGGTGTAAAACAAGTGAAATGTCTTCAGCAAAAAAAAAATCCTTGATCAAACCTAGATTTTTCTCTATATTTGCACTTTTTGATCAAATGTTAGACTTCATACGAAATTTTGAAAAGAGATGAAAAGATTAAATATTAATAAAAGAGAATATGAGGGCAATGAAAAAAATAATGACATTGTCGGTTTAATAAATAAAAAAAGGTGAAGATAAAGAGCAGAATCTCAAAAATCTAAAAAAAAAAAAAAAAAAAAAAAAATCAACAACAACAACAACAACAACAAAAAAACGAAACAAACAAAAAAACTCCATAACCAATCTTTGAAGAGGCATAACACTTAGGAGGAGTAAGCATTCCCTATGAAGTGGACATCCTTGCCGTGTGTTATATGCGACTCTCAAATGAAGTGAAAAATCTAACCTACCCTGCACTGCGCAAGCGAGGCATTAGATTTAAAAAAGATATTTTAGTGATTAAATAGCAATGGTTATAAATTTATTCAACGACTTTCAAAAGTTATAAAACGTGTATCATAACTTTATTGTTTAACTCTGAAGTATTTTCGATTTCAGTAAGGTCTCACAATGATTTAACTGGTTCCTTTGATTATGAAGATAATATTGATGATAATGTCAACGGTGATGATGGTACTACTGCTGATGATGATGATGACGATGATGGTACTACTGCTGATAATGATGATGACGATGAAGGATGTGAGAATTGTGATGTTCCTGTCGTATGCAGATCTGCATTCAATGAAAAGACAGAAACATGTAGCCCAAAAGATGTTGAAAAATGCAAGTTATATCAAAACTAAAATGCTATTATACTTTTTATCCCCCAGAATTATTCATTTTTTTTTAAACTACAAGTATATTATTTACCTTAAACGTCAGAATACCATGAAGATAATATATTTTAATATAATATAATTTGATATTTTATGTCAACAAGTCAACAGAATTTTAAAAAAAATGATTAGTTGTAAAGGAAATTTCAACTTTGATATATATCTCAATTAGGTTTTTGAAGAAAGTACATGTATGTTTAAATACACTGTTGTGCTCTTTAGTTACGATAATGGATTGAAATGAACACATAAGTTTCTGGAATTACAGGCTTAAGAAGAACCAAAATACGCATGAAACGTATGAGACGAGAATGTGACGAAAAAATGAATCAACAAAACAATGGATGTACTGGAAAGCCAGGTTATTTCTTCTTATAAGAATTATTATTTCATTTTAGCAATCGTCTGTTTATCGCTATAATTAAGAATATACATAGCCTGCCTTCTTAAACTAAGAGTTTTACTTCATTTTTTCGATTGAATGTGGTTGCTTCAAATATTCACGCAAACTAATTGCAATGCTTAAATAGTCATGGGATTACAATTGTTTTCGAATTGAAATAGGACAATTTTCTGTTACATCAAAACATTTCCGTATAGTGGAATAAATCTTAATATCTGCTCAGGTTAGATCGTGCACAAAAACAAAAAGTTTATTTTTCAAAACTCTCATACATCTCTTCGACACTCGAGCTTTTCATTTAAAGGGGCCTGGACAAAGTTTCAACTGATTTTTTAAATCCAATTTTAATGTTTACAATTCCTACCCAAGTCATCATCTATTGATTAGCAAAAATTGGAACATCACTTGTTGATTAACAAACAAGATACAGAACTTAAAGTTATTCATAATGTCATGGCTCCTGTCTTGTTTTTGTTTACATATAGAAAATATCATATTTTTAACAAAATGAAGTTCAGTAAATCAATAGTAACTGTTGATTCCTATTTAAAATTAACTTTTATTTCAAATCATCTACTTTGTACGAACATATATTAGTATATTAATCTGTGTAAACAAAAACATGACACTAGCATTGTTTACATAAAAAAGGTTTGGAGCTCTAAATCTGTCTTGTATCTGGTAAACTGGCGTTCAAATTTTTTATGATCATTAGAAAAACCCTAGCAAAATATTTGTAAAAATGGAAAAATAAGTTTTGAAATATTAGCTGAAACTGTGTCCATGCCCCTTTAACAGTACTATCATATTGTAAAATTTGAGTTAACCGGGTGGCAGTAAATACAAAATTTACAAGAAATTTTGTATTTACTGCCACCAGGTAAATTCATAATTAACAACATCACAGTAAAGTAATTGAACCGTGGTTTCAGACAAAATAATTATTTTTTTCGTTTGATTTCTACCAGTAGAAATATACCATATATTTTTAACCATGTTGTCCTTCTCGAACTGTGTGCCCTTCATTTTCCTAGGATATCTACCTGATCTACAGACTTGTAGTTGCATTCCTCATGGACTCCTTTTACTAGATTTCTTGTTTCATTAAAAGATTTTTATCTTGGTCAGTCGTACAGGTCATTTCTACCAGTAAATGCCATTTCTCCTCCTACAAAAGTATTTTTTTTGTTGTCCCTCATGTGAGTACAGCCTTCCCCTTTTAGTTTTCCTTTGTTTCGAGTTAACCGTTGACATTTTTTTTCGTTTGTGCTTTTTTTTGAATCTAGAGACAAAGACATAAAAGTCTTATGTGATGATACTAAACCAAATACCAAGTACTTTATGATAAAAAGTTGTTGAATGTCAAAAACGGTTGTTTCTTTCTGAGTTGCACAGTCATTTCTGCCCGAAGATTGGTGATATTTTTCCTGTTAAACATTAGGCATGTAAATCATGTTAATTGTTGGAGAAAATTAAATAAATGCTGATCATAGAGATGAAACAAAAATATAACGTACAGTAATCATGTTCAAAAGTCTGCTTAAAAGTACCATTCAGAATGAAAAAGAAACATTTTCAAAAGTCTTAAAAAAAGAGGTGGATTAAGGTTTTATGGATCATTAAGCATTTACTGACGACCGGTGATGACAGCCGGGTACTCCTTACGTTTTGGAAAAAAATACCTGAAAATCTATTTCTTAATAGCCAATTACGTACGATAATAATGAGTAATAATTATCATGGAAAAAAAAATCATTAAGCATTCGACTAAATGACAGACTGGATTTGTTGAAAGGCCATTGTATTAACCTTCAAGAAATAGTTACTTCATATGAGACTGTACATATCCTTGATTCGATAATTTGTTTGTCAATAGCTTGTTTCGTTTTTGCAGTACAGTTGTGAAGTAAGGAGTTGAACAGCCCTTTTCGAGCAAATTTTCCATGCATATTATTGTTCCCACTGCTTTGTTTTTGGCTCTTTTTTTAGCGATAGTGTATGAGCATTTTATTATTTTTCTCCAATGTTGCCAGCAACGACGTTATAATGCAATGACCTCAAAATGCCTTATACATGTATGAGAAGGTATTGAGTATTAGAAAGAAGGATTTTAAGACATTTCTTATTTATTGTTAAAAAATTATAAAAGAATTGTAGCCTTTTGATTCTGTACAACCCCAAGATATATAATACTTAGAGAAAGCATATCGTGATAAGCTAAGGTCTAAGGGTTATATATCTAGGGATTGACCTCCTCAAAAGGCTATAATTGTATAGTATACAATAAAATATAATTTGTGTAATGAATTAAAATGACTTAATTTAATTCATATAGATATTGATCTAAATGTATAATAAGAGGTATTTTCATGAGTATTCAAAAATGATACTTCCTGACGTAAAGCTATACACGTCTTAAATGGTACTTATTCTTGCAGGTGTTTTAGTGTTGACCCATTTAATTGCAGTTGCGATTGGGGCTGGAGTCTTATATTGTGTATTGTTCATGAAAAAAATTAAACGCACATTGTGAGTATCAAATCGCAAAAACTGACTTAAACATTTTCAGGTTGATATTAATTATATATTGCAATTTTAATAGAATAACAAACTACTCTTATTTGTGTTTATAATTGATTTTGTTGGTTGTTTAACATTTGAAAATATCTCTTTTTAAAGAAGCTTACTATAAAATCACATATTTTCCTTGGGTCAAATTTTTGTGGTTTGAAGAAAATCTACAGATTCGTAGGGATTTGATTTCGTGGATGAAGAATTTTTTATAAGTCATGTGTATGACATTTTACTTTTCGTGGTGGACATGAATTCGTTGGTCTCTCCATACCTCGAAAACAACGAAGAGTAAACACCCACGAAAATTAGTGATTTCACAGTATTCATTATAGAAGGTGAAGAAAAAAAATATTGATCAGTATAATGAAAACACAAACAATTCAAATCCTTGAGTATCGCATTAACACGGTTCTCAAAACAATTCTACGCTTGAATCAGATGTCTAGGAGGAATAAGCCTAGACCTATCGCACTTATCATAAGCCTTATGCATTGATCACTAAGCCGGAATATTCCATGCTCAAATAATACAAAAAAAACAAAAAAAAACAGAAACCCAACAACTGGTATGAAATAACTTCTTGCAGCCAAAATATAATCCAGTTTTAGGTTATATTTGGTAACGAGGTCATTCTAACAACTACAAAATTTTAAACTTCTGATCTTATAAAGAGGTTTTAAAAAAGCCCTCTAACATCAACTTATCTGTCAGAAGCCCGGCGTTTTTTCAAGAAATAAATTTACGGTTGAAAAGCAAATGTCATCTTGTTTTGCCTTGATCGTTCGTAGTCCGAAAAAACACCCAAATAATAAATAGAAATGGCAGACTCTGCTGTGGCTTAAAATTTAAATTCTCTGAAATATATCTGGTCTACATTTGAATGGAAATAATTATTTTCGATTGACAAAACTTCGTTGATACATCTCAATTTCGATTTACACATTTTTGTCTTCGAGCGTAGTTTTTAAATAAATTCTACTTTATAGAAATATGAACAGAAAGGTTTATGAAAAATATCAGTTAGTGCCCATACAAAATCGTTCCTCGAAGAATACTTATTACACACATTGACAATGAGAAATTCCAACATCTTTTTAATTCAATGTAAACCGCCGGTATAGAGTACTTATGTGTATAATCAGTATGGCTTTTAAAAAAAAGATATACTTAAGCAAATAAGTAAATTGTAATAAAAATATTTAATATTTATATTAAGAAGCGCAATCATTCAGTGTTGATATAAGCAAGAAATATATGATTTATCATCATGTGTATAAATAATACATTTTATATAGGAAAGGTAGAATTAAAGATGAAAGAAACAAAGAAACTAATAGTGTCTCTCATAACCCACAAAAAGGTTCGATGGAAAACTTGTCAACTCCATGTTTAAAAGAAGACGAGGGCGTTTATTGTGAAGTAGCAGAAAAACCGGTATTTTGCCATTTTTTGTTCTTTATATGACTCATATTGCTAATAAAAAGCCCATATGCTACGTAAGCATACACTTTTAACTAGTTAAGACAAATCAGCATTTACTAAATCATGCCTTAAACGATTATATGGTAAAAGAAATTTAAAAATGTATGAACGGATTTTTTCAAAAGATTACAAGATATTTTTATAAAAAGTCGGGTTATATTAAATTTTATACTGGGAATAAGTGGACAATACCGTGAAACACGGTAAAAAGAGAAATATACCAATGTGTAAAGAATTTCTTTAAAATCATCCTGTCAATATATGATCAAGCATTGGGGCCATTCCATTTTTTTTTCTTTGCCTGCATGCTGCTTTCTTTTGAGGTTATGATATTAAAACAATTGCAAGCAAAAATTAGAATCTTTGAAATGCTATTTTTTCTTTTGGAATCTGCATCTTCTTTTTGAAGTTGTGTTCCAATTTAATTTCATTTTAGTAAACTTATTTTTTACTTAGTTAAGGTCAGACGACACGTTCCTCAATACTATATAATTTTTCCTAAGAATTTGTCATTGAAGTATGGGTACTTAATAAAGTTTCCTCACAAAAAACTAGGGGACCTTACCAGGCATTTCTCCAAGATACCATAGGGTCATATTTCTTATATAACCTATATGGTATATATTCTAAATGGCCTATTACACAATTTTTGGTGTACTTATGATTAAAAACATTTTGAAAACAATGGAAAAATTAGGAGAGAATGAAAAATATGAACACTTATTGATATAATACCAAGAGATGCTAGATATGTATTTAAGGAACGTGTCGTCTGACCTTAAGTACAATGAAAGAAATATAATCTAATGATAAGTAGAAATTAAACAATGTTATCAAAATATCGTCACTGTGTTTTCCCTTTTTTGTTTATGTTTTCCCGGTTAGAAGGATTGAATTAGTTTGAAAATTATTGAAAAAAAATGCTCCCCAAGAACAATGGTCCTGCATCTAGAGATTTTGATATGCAAGTATCTTTCGAATCCGCAGTTATGATAAGGCTGTCCGAAGGCTTAAAATGCCTTGAAAATATACATTTTATTCCGAGCTAGATTTTAATTTTAATATGTAATCTTTGTTTGAAAATGCATACAACTTGAGATGATAGTTTAACCCTGTTTTATTTAAAGCAATTCCATGACGTCACATGACTGTGTTGTTCACGTGACGGAGATTTGTGATATTCCTAATTGTTACACAAAAATCGCTTCGGCACAAGTGCAAAACAAAAATATCGTGCAAAGTTTGTTACATAGATCAATTCATCGTGATCTCTAGTACATAGAAAGTCCTGGGGGCAGGTTTAATCTTTACTTGTTAAGAAAATATTTTACAAGAAATTCAACTTACCAACATAAAAAGGGGTATTTTCCACTTTATATCACCATTTATACAAAAATGAATAAACTACACATAATCCCCCAGCAATATTCAGTTAGAGGACATACTTCCCTTGTAGATTCACACAAAATATCTTCTGTTTCTCCTTGTTTATCACTTGTGCCAGTCCAATATAAACAAGATTCATAAATTCTGACTCTGTCTTTGGACGTGTAAGGGGAGCGTTTCACACATAATTTTTTACCATTGTTTGAATATGTGCATATCGGAGAGGCAAAAGGAATAAGGATATTTGAATTTCAAATGTATAGCATCATAATAGCATACTCAAGCTTAAATACAATTTTAACTTTTGAATTAAACAACAAGTCCCCAAAATAAATCTACGTGCCGTGTAAAAATTATGACACTTTCCCCGTCATGCAAGCTCAAGTATACAGTGACATGACGTCATATTCTATTATGACGTCATATCTAGGTAGTTCAGAGAAGTTACTACGGTTTGAACAGTTTGATATTTTACGGGCAGCCTTATCCTAGCTGCGTCTTTATATAGTGCTCTCGGCACCTCTTTCTGAGTGGATAATTTTTGAATGGGACGTTTATCAAAATACAATTGATCAATTAATTGTACATCCTGGGCTAAGATGGGCCCCAAACTAAATGTACCTTTAATAATTCATATCATACATCCAATCTTTATTCAAAGGTCATACTTAGTATTATAGCATTTTCATACGACATTGTTAGCTATATGGAAACATGCCCCATACTTTGATGAAGAATTCATAAAATAAGCGTTGAAAAATACATTAAAATATGGTTCTAAAATAGGTGATAATCACGAAATAGTTAAGCATTACTTATCACTATATCATGTAGTTGCATCTTCTAGCAAGTCATACACTTTATTCTTTACATCTTTTTAATATCAAACAGGTTCATATCAATGAGTAAAACTGTATCAAAAGTTTTTGTCAGTAGTTAAGTACTACATAAAATACATTTTTTTTCTATTTTAAGCAACCTAAGTCCTCTCAGTTTGCAAACTTTGCGTACTCGGTGGCTGAAGATTCTGTTTTAGAGGGCCGAAAAAATCTAAGACTCCCTGACATTCCACAACAAGCAATGAAAGATGACAACCAATACCTGACTCCTATAAGTAGATCTCTTCCAAACGAGTATCTCGATTCGTCAGGGAAGGCTTTGAAGGATGAAAACGAAATCTGGTCAGAGGATGAAAAAGTCCAAAATTCCAATGTATTAAACCACGACGATAGATTGAACGATGCTTTTGATACAGAGACAATCGATAATTATTTTGTTCTTGAGAACAGCACTGACATGGATCTCAAGTAAAATCGACATTTACCTCAGATCATTCTGGAAAAAAAACAGATGCATAACAGGAACCACCAGTTCATTCAGGAAGGAATGATATTGTGAAATGATCCATTTCTGATTAGACTCGGATACTGAAAGTCCATCATTACAATCATACAGTTAAATCTAAATTTGGTTGAAAAGACGTCAGAGAGAACCAGATTGTTCAAACAAATGGAAATAATTGCAATATACTTCACTCATCGATTTGAATTCAGTATTTTCGTTTTTTTTCTATTATCTTGGAGTATTGAGAAAACTGGAAGAAATAGGAAAGTAGCGAATCGATAAAAATAGTAGACATAGGATTTAAACAAGTGCAAGTTTGAATCTAGACTATTCTGGATGTTTGTATGAATTGAGTTTAAACTAATCATCGATATCCTTGTTATTTAACATATATCATCGTTTCTCTATTCAACTCAGTTATACTCTGTATGTAAATATTATCGAACAAACTTAAAAGTATGACCAAAAAAAAAAGTGATAAAATTTCAAATTGTTTATTTTTGCACGTACTGCATAAAATCTATATCATACAAGTATATAGCTTTCCTAGCATAGTGTGTGTTGTTTTAAGTTTTATACATTTTCTAAATCATTGTGTTCATCAAAATAATATCAAACACATATGGCGATGTTTCATTTATAATACTTAATAAAATTGATAGACGTTTACCGTCTTTTTCAAATACAATAACCAAGTATGAAACAGATGTGTCAGACCCTGTGGTATCTTTTATCTCAATCTCACTAGGGTATATCGTATCAAAATAGGAATGGAAATTACCATTGTTAATTGACAATACGCCTTCGATATATTTAAATGTCGAGTTGAGCAAGTGTTTTCTTCATTTTGCATTTTGATGTCAATTTCAGAGTACTTGTTTGTGCAATCAGAATGCGTTTGAACAAAATAATTTTGCAAATGACCAATGACCAGATTAGTAAATTTTTTTTTATTGAAAAATCAGCTGTAAACGGTATCAAAAAGACTGGACTTTAATTTATCGTGGGAAATGGTCGTGTAGAAAGTCGAAATGTCGCAAGTTTTTAAGCTGTTGATTTTGGTAAAATCTTGTGATTTCAAATTGTCCAAAATTTTTTTGGAATTTTTTAATAGTACTATGAATGTTTTTCCCCCTTCGGTAGTGTCAATATCTTAGTGAGGAGTACAGAAAGAGGTTTAGTGAACATTTTCTGGAACCCGCTATGTATTTTTGTTTGTGAGGATCCTTACGAAGTTTTGGATTCAAATTCAAATTCATTTTGGTTCTTCGGGATATTAAAAATCTTCAAAATTGACACATAATTTTGAAGAATTTCTCCCCGAGAAAGGGAACTATGATTATAAGTTGGATTACCAGTGGTAGAATTAAATCTAAGTTCTTCTAAAATTCAATTTATATAATGAGCCTTACAAGCAAAGACAATGTTGTTACTTGCTTTGTCAGCAGGTACAAGTTTGCACTGATCATGTAATCTATCTATTAATTATTTTTTCACTTCTGGATTATTGAATAATCAGGGATCAGGTGCCATGGGGAGGGAGAAATCCCTGCCGACCGGTCATACCCGCCGTTTACTTTTTGTGATGTTCGGGAAATAACGGAAAAATCCGTGGACAATTCAGTGTTTGTATATATACTGCCCTAACAATTTGTATGAAAAAATTTCAGTCGGCAGTTTACTTATTGATTAAAAAATTGCTTCCAAGGTCATTGTATTGACCATAGAACTGACAAAATTATGGTTTTTGATCGACTTGTTTATCAATAATTTACCTAGTTTTGAAAATGTTCATATGTAGAACATTCTTTAGGCCTTTCAACTGCCGCTATGGTTTGCTGTTATGAACGATAACTCGTTTCTGAAACTTGTTTAGAGCAGGTCCGAGGTATTTAACTGTTTATACGCAAGTCAGTTTTTAGCATTTCCCAAGTGTTTCTTAATTAAATTAAAAAGTGAAATCAACCCTCCTTCTTAGTTCTAACCTGATTAAATGTTTATACTCAGTCGTTCTTCTTAGGTAACACAAATAAGATAATTAATTGTTGCATTTACTTGCATCTACTTGTAAAAATATATATATATATATATATATATATATTTATATAGGAAGCGAAAAAGTGCGCACAAAAAAACCCCCCCAAAAAACATGTCATTATATTTTCTTCATCATAATAATCGTCAAAGAGAGTTAAAAATATTGAATATAGTCTGTTCCCCATTCACTTGACCTTGTTATTTCAGGTAAAGTGAAGAAATTCTCCTTCGTTTGGTCAACGCTTTTGTGTACAAAACAGTGTAAGGAACCCTTTTGTGTACATAACAATACCTATGCTGAAGTAGCCTATATGTCATTCCTATAAACGATAACTCATAAATCGGCACTTAGTTGGTCATTTTTCACACCTGAGTTTCCTGTCTTTAAAACACAACATTGCACAATTCAATTATAAATAATTAAAATTTTTAATGATTTAATTAAATGTATGCATAAGTTATATCTTATATTTGAAGGTCACCGGGATATATCGTACCGGCGTAAGAATGGAAATAACATTTGTTTACCGACAATATATTGTCAGAAGTGTTTTCTTCTTTTCACTAATAATATTTTGGACGACTTCTGCTTCATATGAATACAAAAATAGGTCTGCTATTAACGGGGCGTAATTGGTACACATAAGTGCACTCCGTTTAACATCGAGGTGGCTTACAATGGCATACAATTAAAAGATGTTAGACAATTTTGGAATATAAATTAAAAACCCAGCTTTATAAAAATAAATTCCGTTTTAAAAAGTACCTGTTTTTTGCACGTTTATATTCTATTGATATCTTCATAGTAAGCCTTAACAGTGCTACGTAATGTATATTTAAAGCAATAAATTTATGTAGTTGAGGGTAACTTTGAACATTACACGCAACTATATGCAGTTTTCATATGGTATATTGTTTTGAAACAAGGACTTCTGTACCATGTGAAAAGGAATTAACATGCAAGAATTTATTATTTCTTTCCTCAATTATTAAATCATTTATATCTGAATAAGAAAGGGAAGCAGATTGTAGATAATGGCCATATTTAGTTACTCTATTCTTTCGATTTTAATCAACCATTTCCATCAATCCCACCATGTGATTTTACCATTTTACTATTACTGGCAATATAAGTATCTAGAACACCTCAATTGTGGGAAACTAGGAAAAAAAACATTTACATCAAGAGAAAGATAAATCATGGCTATGTGATTTGAATATGATGACAATATGAAAGAATATAATATATTATATTATTATACCTCAAATAACTAGCACTAGTTAAATAGAATCTGATTGGCCGAGACAGTCACGTGACCGTCGTGTTTGCCTTGCAACAAAACTTCGTGTGCCACGCATTCTGCTCACCTCGGCTGATGCGGTATCCAACATCTAGATGTGATTGGCCGAGGTGTGCTGAATGTGTTTCACGTCGTGTTCCACGATTTTCACGTCAAAATGCGGCGACTGTGATGATTTCTTCTGATTTCGATTGTTTGTATCTCTGATTTATTGTCAATATAAATTAGTAAAATGTTAATCTTTAGAAAGTGTTTCCATGAGTGGGAATGAATATTACTAGTGTGCAAATCAGAATTTGTCACAAAGGATGAAGCGCTAGTGGTGTAATTTACACCTGTTTCATATTGTTCTTATCGAATGTTAACTTTATTTATTGGGTTTTCTTTATATTTCCTGCATTGAGCTTGATTCGGTATAATAAAACAATTATTGCATGAATGTTCGGGAGACATGAACATTTCTTCGCCCATGAAAAATCAAATTCCCCTCGGACGTTGCCCTTGGGGAATATGATTTTTTATTGGTGAAGAAATCTTCATGTCTCCCTCACAATCATGCAATAATTGTATAATATACTTTTGAACATCTGGGAAAAACAATACACTGACCAAAATTTTCAACAAATTTTTATATAATTCAAATAAAAAGTAATTGATGAAGGGGTTAAAAGGTACAAAACATTCACAAATGATAATTTTAATTGTCCCACCACTTTTCTTTACGAGATGATCTCCTTCATTTAATGTGTTATACAGATTTAATCTTGGAGATTATTTTAAACTAAGGAAAAAGAGTAATTAATTTTTGAAATGTTTATTGCTGATGCATTTTTTTTTTCAAAATGTTACTATTTATACACTTCCTTCCTCTAATGAACATTGCAAGTATAAGCTTTTATTTTAAAAGCATGTTTTATTTAATATCAGGAAGAAATCAAGCTGAAAAGTTTGATTTGGAAAAAAAGTATTGCATTATAGGAAAGCAAGCCATCATGATATGTGCCAGTCATATTTGTTTGGCAGTTTTACTTTGTAAGTTATTTGTGCTGGCATGAACAAAATCGTAGGTAAAACTACATTTTTTCTTACTTTTTTTTAATTTTCTTGTTATAGGTTTAACGACAGTGGCAATCGAAAAAGACACAAAGTATAGTATGAAATAATAAATAGCTAATCCCTGACAAAAATTTACTATTGTTATAATAACAATAATAATTATTGTTTATAATATTTATTTATAGTGAATACTTTGATACTTTACGACGACACTTTACTCTAGAGCTTTTTTAAAGAACTAGATCCTTAATTTGTCGTAAATCACATATCAATGATTTAATTGATTAAATATGTAAAAAAAATCATTTTAATATCAGAAAAGTACTTGTAGGAAGATTAGAAAACTTATATATCTGAAATTTATTGTAAAACCTATTGATTTACAAAAATTAAAACTCCGATTTATCATAATTGTTATAATTAACTTTTGTTAACTAATAAGTCTTTTTTGTCAGGGATCAACCATTGAAATTTCTCAAATTTTACACTTTTCATACTGAAGAAAGGATTTCATAGTGGGACATACTTGTTCAATTGGTAAATGAATATATATACAAATAAGTTGCCTAACCAAAATTAATTTCTTTTATATGATAAAAGATCTGAGAATTCAATAGATAACACGCTAACAAAGATTGCAGAAAGATGGAACAATTCATGTACTTCATGTTTTCTAAACACCAAAAGAGCTGATGAAAGTAAGTAAGATGTTGATAAGAACTATTGCAGCTCTCTTTAATACAAATGCAGCCATTCACATAACCTTCTCTCTCTCTCTCTTATCCTTTCTACATGAATTCTTCGATTTGAATAAATCTATGTTAGCAATCTTTTTTCCCCACAAAAATTCTTATTCCCCTTAATACGTTTCTGCAGAGGTTGAAAAAATACGGTGCCTGAATGGAATGGAACCTGTGTCTGAAAGTAAAATTTGCCTATTTTGGAACATTTCGGTCGTTGTGGATGGAAAAGAATGCAATGTTTTTTCAAGGGCTAATTGTCATCTGGATGAGGAAATCAAAAAAATGCTCATAAACACGACAAGTAAGCGAAATAAATTCAGTGTAATAGGCAACGGTTAAAGGTTTGCAAAAATAAGTAAAACTAGATGGTTTAGATCAATCAGCCAAAATTTTAATTCTCAAAGTATGGTCTATTCACAAGGAATGCATATTTTAAATATGAAAGCTATATATAGAAGCAAACAGACAAACAGAGAGATAGACAGATTGTCCTCCGATTTTGGGACGTATAACCATTTTCAAATCATATATAAACATATTTCTTTCTCTTCTTTAAATGTAAGTTAAATAGTCTTGGATTTTGCAGAATAAGGTGTATTTGAATACCAAAAAAGTATGTTCAAATATTAAATGTTTTTCATCTTCCTCAACAGGTGAATATATGCAGAATTTGAAATTTGAGTGTAATGAAGAAAGTCATACTATAGTTAAGCTAGCGAAAAAATAACATCATGCAGTAAAACGAATGAAAGAAGGGAGTATTAAGAACAATGGTCATTCTTAAGAATCTAGAAAAATATCAATCTTTGAATTGTGTATTAAAAACGGAATTTTGGAAATTCCAGATGTTTGATTAGGTTACGGGATGCACCTGCATAAACCCTAAGCGACTCTCAAACGAATGGAAAAATCGCTTTTTCCTCTGCATTGCGCATATGAAGAATTAGATTTCATTACTTGATTTCATTACTTGATTTTATAATAAAAAGTATTGTTAATCGATGTATTCAAAGACATACATATAAAGACTTGTAACTTGCTTTCTTAATTAATTCTGAAATATTTTCGATTTCAGAAAGCTCATCCACTGGTGTAAGTGATAGCGTCGATAATGAAGGTAGGGATGTTGCTACTGCTGAAGAAAACTACAGTGAATGCTATTATACTTTTCCAGAATTAGTCTTCTAACTAAAACCATAAACATACTACTTACCTGAAATAGCGGATTTGCCAGTAAGATAGAATAATTCCAACATCTGATAATTTATGCCCCAAAAAGCAAATTTCTTTTTCAATTATCACTTTAAAAAAAAACTCAGATGTAATATTTTCAAAAAGATTTTTTAAAGAATATGCATGCATTTTTACAAAGTAATGTTGAGTTATGTCAATGAATTTACACACAAGATTCTGTATTTACAGGTTTCCGAAAAACAAAAGGACATAAAAGCCATAAAAGTCCAATAAATCGAGGTTATTCTCCACTATTTAGTTTTTTTTTTTCATTGTAACAAGTAATATTTGCTCTGTTTATTTCTATAAATATGAAAACATAAAGCCTGTCCTTTTGAACGGAGAATTTGACTCCTTTTTTTTCGATAAAATATGTTTGCATCAAATAACTACGCAAACTAATTGCAATGCATTAGTACTCATGTGATAACACGAGTTTCGATTCAAAATTCACTGTTTTTACCATAACGTCATAATCCATGTGACATTTATTGAATTCATTGATTGGATTAATTATTGAATAAACTTAAAATATTAATATCTCCTCAGGAAGGATGTTTCACAAAAATGAAAAGTTTATTTGTCAAAACTCTCTCTCTTCAGCACTTTTGTTTTTCCTTTACCCAAAAGAAACTTTGTTCCGTCATTTAGTTTTTATTTCATTTTTATCAGGAACAACATTAAAATTATCAGATCAAAAGCATCTCCATATCCTTCACGTCTCAAACCTGTGGAGTCAAAATGAATATTTATCTGTTGAATCTCATACTTACCCATATGAAAAAATACTATCAGAATTCAATCGGAGTATTCAGTTGACTACGAGTTGACGGTCAACTGACTGTCAATTGATCATTAGTTGAATTTTTTGCCATGCAAATGAGGGAGCGAACAACTCATTTGCATAGAGTGGACCACTTTTGAATACTCCTCTATTTCCTTTGCAGTTGACCTCTAGTTAAATACTCTTCTATTTCCCTTGCAGTTGACCGCTAGTTGAATACTCCTCTACTTCCTTTACAGTTGACAGCTAATTGAATGCTCCTCTATTTCCTTTACAGTTGACCACTAGTTGAAAACTCCTCTATTTCCTTTGCAGTTGACCGCTAGTTGAAGACTCCACTATTTCCTTTGCAGTTGACCGCTAGTTGAATACTCCATTAGTCAGTGCACGTAGGTTGCTTGCATTATTAAAAAAAAAATATGGAGGGATATTTGAAATCTAAGACAATTGAGTGCTCTTGAAAATATGAAAAGTCAAAACAATGGAGTTTTTATATTGACATAAATGTACAAAGTTGTTATATACTTCCTTCATTCTCTGTGCAGAAAAGGTTATACATAGAATTATTCTAAAGCAATGGTATAGTTTTACCAACACAACAAAACACTTGATGCATGACAATGTTTTTCAGAATTCTTTCAATATTTAAAAAAGCCACAAAAGTAGGGACCTATACCAGCCACAGTTTTTTGTATTCCTAATATCTGTTCAAAAATAACAAGCTTAGTAAAACAAATCTTTAAATGTTATACTTACAATAGTACATGAGATAATCCTCACGCTGAATCATCACGAAGACAATAATGTTTCAAATCAGAATTCCTTTCTTCTAAAGAAAACACACATATACTGATTCAAATCTTGGTTGTTGTGATTATGGTATAACAAACCCGATGTATGATAATGTAATTTTGAACCCAACATAAATGTAGCGTGGGAGAAATTTTCTAACAAATCGGAGTGTTCAATAGTGGTCAACTCTTGTTTTGCATGGAAATTTCAAAGTATAAGCATTCAACTAATGGTCAACTGGCCATTTTATGCAAATCAGATGAACGCTTTTCAGAAAAGTATTCAACTCCTAGTGGTCAACTGTTTTCGCATTATCAGTTGACGAATAGTTGACTGCTAGTTGGCGACTAGTTGACGGTCAACTACACATTTTTGTATGGGTATTTAGACCATATCGATGTGCTATCTTTCGCAGTCTGAATAGTGTTCATTTACCTAAAACAACTGAACAATGTTTGGTATATAACTACATGTAATTCGGGCTGTATCATGGACAACCCTAAAATATTTACCGTCCATGTTAATACTACTTCAATGTAATAGCCAACCTGATTCTGTTATTTGACATTCATAAAAATCATTCAATATTGAACAATTTTGATGAATATATTCGAAACAGTGTAAATTAATACCGACAGGAATATTTGAAATATTCTGGATTATGAAGACAGTACACCTTGTACAAAGAAGAACCTTAGAAATTTCGCCTGATTTTTTAAAACTCCTCCTGCCGGAGCTTATAAAATTATGTCCACACTACCTATGATCCTATGAATCTGCTTTTTGACTTTCATTTTCAATGATTGTTGTTTCTCTGCTTTGTTTTTGGTTTTTCTCGCTTTTATATATAAGCATTTTAGCAACCGCTAATAATATAATGCCGCTTAATTGTAGAAAGAAATAACATTAAGAATTGAAATGTCACAAATTATGATAATTTATGATATAGTTCTTCCATTAAGCGTTGATTTAGCATTAGCGGTTGAGATTGTCAACTACATGTATTAATGCTATACTTTGTGGCATGTGGCGTTGAATTGCAAAGCGTAATGATATTTCTATCATTAAGAGGCGTAATATCATTAGTATTTGCTACAAAGCATATATACTACGAAAAATGGTTTCAATGAACTAAATAGGAATGAACAATAAAGTTTTTTTTCTTTCATGCAATGCGCTTAATGGATAAATAGAACAAGTAAGTTATGACGAGTTATTAGTCCCTGAAATAAAGCAATAAACTTCTTTTACTGTATTTTTCTTGCAGGTATTTTGGTGTTGACACATTTAATTGCAGTAGCGATTGGAGCCGGACTCTTATATTGTGTTTTGTTCGTGAAAAAAGTTAAACGCAAATTGTGAGTATCCAATTACCATAATGTTGACCTTAATACTTTAAAGATATCTAGATTGTTATCTAGTTTACGTTTTTCCTGCTGAAAATAAGACAAAACGGATTTTCAGATTTTAAAGGCACACTCAATCAAATACTTTATATTTATGTTAATAATCGGAATAATTCAGTGTGGATAAAAACGTGAAATAATTCATTAGTCAATAATCATGTGTGTTGCTCATACATTTTATATAGGAAAAATATAGGTAAAATAAGAGAAGAAAGAAACAGAGAAACCAACTGTGCATATATCTCTCACAGCTTACAAAAAGGATCGACCGGAAGCACGTCGTCTCCATGTCTAATACCTGACGAGGACGTTTATTGTGAAGTAGCAGATAAAGTGGTATGTTGACAATTCCAATGTCTTTAAATGACTCTTATTGCTAACAAAACGTTTATAAACATGTTTTAACTACTCAAAAACTAATGGTGCAAATCAGATTAAGAACCCTCTCTACACAGCACAACAGGGAGTTCTGACTCTTTGGTATTTTTCTGCAGTTAGAGTGATCTGCCCTTAGATCTATATTTCAAATAATAGAAATTGCAGTTTAATGATCACTTCGTAATCAATTTTAATATTTTTAACATCTAAAAAGACCAAGATGAATTAATTGAACATTATTATTTACATGCATTTTCTCCACGGAAGTGAACAACATTGATTTCTGTTCAATGATACAGTGCACGTGGTGCTTTTGAACATTTTCCTGGGGGAAATGTCACGTAACATATATTTACATATATTTACATCTACATGTATATGCCACATTATTTTCTCAATGTCAAAAAAAAAACATTTTGAACTGGTGTAGAGAGGGCCCTTAACTTGCGTTAGTTATGGTAATTCAAAAAGAACTTCACGTAGAAGATAACAAGAACTTTTTCATTAAAGATTGGGTAATGTAAAAAATTCTACTAAGATCTCTAGAGACCTCTCAAAAGATAAAAGATAAATCTTATTCAATTTCTGGCCTTAGTTAAACTTATATGTACTGTATCGTGTATGGTATCTTTCTTCAAGTCGTGCATTTTAGTCCTTATATTGGGCTTTTGCAGGTGCAAGCGCTGACTTTTACAGTTGATGGTTTAGTTTGATATTTAAACCTGTATCATGTACGAAGAGAAAACCGCTAAAGTGGCCATATTTATGGTGTTAGGAACACTAACATTTGAATGTCGGGAGTTGAGGGTAGGGTGGTTGTCGTTTTCTTCAAGAGAAAGGTTTATGTGCTTTAAAATAACCCGTTTTTTTCGTTAAGTTAAATGCTGAACTAAATATATATCATGCCCTGTTCACACGGAGAGTTTAATTCGCAGTAAATTAATGCAAAGTAAAGTAATGCGAATTAAATTGCGTTCACATGACAGCTAATGCGAAGTAAACTAATGAGAATTAAAATTTTACTTCTGCAGCCCGGCGTCAGCTTGGTCATTATGACGTCCTTTGCAAATCACGTCACCTTATGCAGAAGCAGATCCATTTGACGTAATGGCAAAGTGTCTGTATACACATAAAATAATTAACAAAATTTCCCTTAGTTTTTCACTCAAAAATAGCACAAGTACCTAAAGCTGACCACCGACAAGTGGTATTTGACTAAATTTTGCCATAATGCATGCGTCAGTATTTAATTCGAATTAGCTTCGCTAAGCGTTCACACGGAGCTAATGCTAAGTAATTTAATGCGCAGTAAACTAATTCGAATTAAACTAATTCGCATTAAATTCTCCATGTGAACGCTAAGCGAAGTTAATTTGCAGTAACTTTACGTTCAATTCGAATTAAACTATCCGTGTGAATAGGGCATTAAAAGAGCTTCCGTACATTGTTCAAGTGAAAAGAAAGCTGTCAACTGTAATAGTCAGTGCTTCACACAAAGTCCACTATTTAATATTAAACAGGATCATATCAATGTATAACAAGTATATCAAAAGTTTTTGTCAACAGTTAAGAATTAATCAGTGCATTTATTTCCTTTTCCAGCAACACGATTCCTCTCAGTTTGTTAACTTTTCGTACTCAGTGGCTGACAATTCTGTCTTAGGGGACCGAAAAAATACCAGACTCCCAGACATTCCACAACAAACAATGAAAGATGACAACCAATACCTGACTCCTATAAGTAGATCTCTTCCACACGAGTATCTTGACTCATCGGGAATGGCTATAAAGGAGAAGGATGAAAACGAAACCTGGTCAGAAGATGGTACAATCCAGGAATCCGAAGTTTTGAGTAATATCGACAGCTTGAATGATTCACTTGATACAGAGACAATCGATAATTATTTTGTTCTTGAGAAAAGCACTGACATGGATCTCAAGTAAAATCGACATTTGTCTCAGATCATTCTGGAATGACAGACAATGTAAAATGATGCACTCATGAACAGATTCAGATACTGAGAAATCATTATTCCAATCATAAAATTAAAATTAGTATTGGTTGAAACGCTTCAGAGAAAAAACAATTATTCAAACAAATTGGATATTAAAAGGAAAATCTTTCATTGATCTATTTGAATTCGGTATTAATGATATTCCAATCAATATGGGGTGTATAAATTGAGAAACTGTAAGAATTCAGAAATGAATGTAATAATTTTTTCTTTGATCGATGTATCAAAGAAAAATTTGGACGGAAAACTTCATCAATGCGCGTAGCGCATTGATGAAAAGATTTTCCATAAATTTTTCTTTGATACATGATCAAAAAAAAAAAATTATTACATTCATTTCTTATCATTTAATTATGATTTTAAATTATTAAAATGAAAGTTTTTTTCAATTTTCTATTAAATTTATGTATCAAAAACAAAGCGCACGAATACATCACCATAACGTTAACGTTGCTAAAAATTCAAAATGGCTCTAACCATGCTAACGAAAAACGTTATCAAATATTGTCGTGTGATTACCAACAGTCTCCAAAATAATTTACAGTTCTTTAACACAAAAAATACCTGTTGTGTTATCCCCTCTGGATATATTTTCCCCGGTAAGTTATCTAAGTTCGTAAATGTAAAGGGAAGCTACTCAAATATCCTAACAGTTCTACGTCACAGAAATTTTGAATTTCATTTGCGCATCTTTTCATTTGAATTTCAAACCGAATATATAAATACGTATCATAACCTGTCAATGCTGTTAATACCTGAAAGAGTCTGCTGCCGATAGTTCAAGATTAAAGAATTCCATCCTCAATTCATGCAGTGTCGTTTTTATCAATAACTCGTTTACCACGATTTAAAAGATTTTAGGTTTTACCCCCTTTGGTAGCATAATAAAACATTTTTTAGTTTTTGTTTCATACCAGATATCTCAAAGTCAAACATTTAAGAAAAGTATGTCGATTAAACGATTTCTTCCCTTCTTTCAGTAACTGTATTGTCGTCATGCAGACCATTTTAATTTGTTTAGCAAAGGGGGATAATTCAAAATGAAACGAAAGTAGAAAGTAAGTCAGGAAGCTAACGGACAGGTTACGAAATTCAGGAAAATATTTGTTAAAGCAAAGGTATTTAATTATTCCTTCAAAAAGTAACCTGAAAAAAACACATGTACCGACTGTCAAATAGTTCCGGCTGCTTAGTGCAACAGTACTCTAGATTTTATTGATGCAGTTATCAAAAGAATTTTTTATCCAATCAGAATCAAGTATTTTATAGAAATTAAATGATTTCGGAATCAAAGTACCAAAGCGATGGTAATAGGAGACGCCTGTGTAAGTCTAGCGCAACTATGGACTTGTATTGTTCCGGATGTGTATGTGAATTATGAGTATTTATACAAAAATTGCTTGTTAATTATTAATTGTCTATCTTTTTTTTTTTTTAATTTTACTCTGTTATGTGCTGTATGTAAATATTTTTACGTCTTTCATGCAAGCTATTTACACCTATAACTTTCATTGCATAGTGTGTATTGTTTTGATTTTTATGTATTTACGAAATGATAGCATTTACAGAAATAGTGTCAAACATATACTGCAATGTGTAAATATTATAAAAATTGTTACATTGTGTATACATGCTATATAAAAACATATAAGGTCAAAGTATGTTTGGAAAAGCAATATTCCACTTATTTTTATAAATGCAAAAAGGATGGATTAGCCTGCCTAGATACAAGATTTCCACTCACTGAATAGCCAAGGGAAATAACTCATGCACATTACTTTTTGAAAATTTGATTGATGGTGTCCTTCAAAACATCCAACAATTGATTCACATACGTTTTAATCTAGCATGGTATTTTTATTCAGAACATCCCTTTAAAATGATTGATTGCAAATGTAATTTGTACAAACCAGAATTGTTTATACTGTTTATTTTAACATAAAATTTGCGTACCCTGATAAAACTGTTTTACCTTGCATCATATGACTCTTTCTTGTTCAATCAATTCTGACAGTCTTTTGATTTGATATGAAAGAGAAAAAATGTGATGCTTGTGTAGGATACGCTTTCATTGAAAAAAATATTTTGTACAGATTTACTAAATGTGATGTTGTCTTTATGTTCCATAAATAAGCTTGCTAATAAATATTTTTCATAGTTATCTCGCATTTTATGTCATTGTTTTTACATGTAAAAAGAATGTTTTGTTTTATGAATTTCGAGGTTGCAACATAATTACATGAAAACAAATTGATTAAAAGAGACGATACGTTAATTTTATTTCCTTCCGCACAAAATAAATCCCCTGATTATAGTTGTTTTGGAAACATACTTTATAAATTACCTGGAACATTTAGAAGTCGTCCATCCTTAGGTAAAGTGATGTAAACGTTTATTATTTATAAATGGTTATCTAATTTTTAAAGTAACTCCTTGATTTTGTAATTTTGTAATTTGAACCCCCCCCCCCCCAAAAAATAATAAAGAGTTGCTGTGATTTTCAGTTTCTTCCCGCTTTAATTGTTGCTTTGAGCTGGTCTCATTTGTTGTTTTTTAAAGCTGCTTTAAGACATGCACCTTTCATTTTCAAAATGTCAAAGATTGGAAATAAACTATACTAATAACTCATGATTTTTTTTAATTATTATTAGAGTGAATTTAATTCAGAGCATTTGACAACAATCAAGAAATTCAAATAATCTTTCTTTTAAAAACAAACTTTGAATTCACAAGCAAGGAAATAGATATCCACAACTCATTTTACAGGAACTCTTTACATGCAAGCGCTGGAACTCAGGCTTAAGTTACGAACGTAAGACTGTATAAAGTATTTGATAACTATATAACATGTTATCCATTTAAAATTGTGAACTTTATTAAAAATCTGTTAGCATTATACTTAGAATGGCCCTGTACATATACATGTACCAACATATCGATTAATACTCTAGTTTTCATTTCTATTATATATGTAGCAGAGACCTGATGATTCCAGTTCGTAGTAAAAAGTTTCTCTAAATATTCAGGTATCGGAGAAAGTTTTTGAAACATAATGATGTTCTTGAATGTAATTGAGTTCTTTGAGTACGTCAGTCACAAAAATATGAGTGGCCTTTCTGATCCAAACTGTGAAATATATTTTATAATCTTTGCAAAAACTCAAATTTACAAATTGTATTATATTTTTTATTGCACTGATTATCTAGAAATGTGCATAAATTTTCACAAATACCTGGTACCCTTCTTTAAGAGCAAAATAAATGAAATGACGAGATGCATTGTCAACATCAGCTGAACAGTTTCACCTTCTTAGAAACCAATAAAACAAAAAACACTCAGTCAACCCTATTCTTCTTTATCATTTTTTAAAAGTATTTTTCTCAGAAAGCGCATTTGTCAGACATATTAATTCTTTTATTCACTGTCAAAAGTTGTTATTTAATATGTACACCAATAATTACTGTTTGCATCACGCGCTGGGATTTAAAAAATCACTTTGGACATTTTTTGCGCTAAGAATTTCTAAAAAAAAAAAGTGCTTGTAATAAAAATTCTTTAAGTTATACTTAGACTGCATACCTATTAAAAATCATGTAATTTTTTCGTTAGTCCATATGACGATATGTGTTGCCTCACTATCCCAGCTCTCAAGTTTTTTTTTTAAGTATATCCTAAGCTGTTTTCATATTTTGCATAGATGCCAACTTATGACCCAAAAATGTTGAATTATATAATAAAAAAAATATTTCATCACATTTTCGGTGATGTTTTGTTTTTGTGTATTGAGGTGTGGTAATGCATTTCATTACTTTAGGGACTTAAATACGTACATTTTCGTTAAAATTCAAAATCAATATCATTGGTAAAACATACTTTTCAATGCATGGAGAAAACTTTTTTTTAATATAAGTGAAAGAAAAAATTATACTGATATTTTAATTGAGACATTTGGACTTGGTTAGTGATTCGACATATGTACAGGTCCATTTTATGAGAATTGCTGTAAAAAAGCTGTTCCTTTTAAAAGGTTTGTTCCCGTTTTTTTTTTTTGTTTTTTTTTAAATTTCTTATTAAGGGCGAAATTTATAAAAAATTTTATGACTTAGAAAAATAATCATTTTCCTTAAGACAGGATATGACAATTTATTGCCCGTATTTGATATGTGAGTTATGTCCAAGACACGATGTAGTTACGATATCGACACATTACTTTTTTATAGTTTTCATATTTCATATACGTGTGTTTATAACAATACTTATGTTTTAAGACTATTTTCTTAGTGTTGCCGATATCATGCCGATATCTCATTGTTGTTAAAGAATTGTGGTTTCCATCCTTAATATGCTGTTTTTAACAACTGTTAATAAAACTTTCTTTATAAATCTTTCCCTGAAGTGTCGATATTTGATATCGACGATAAGCTTGATATCATCATGATTGCAACCCTTGGCAAACACCTTCCATGTTACTTTGAATGTGCCTATGTTTAATTACTTTCCTTTTACGAAGATTTTACCTTCGATATTGATATCGACGATATCGTATGATATAATCATGATTGTTTAAATCATAATACTTTACAAATCCGCACTCTAATACAAAAACTTTATTTTTACGTCACTTCTGTGATTAATAAGTTTACCTTACTGTCGATTTCGATAAATCATTATTGTTAAAACATTTTTAAGACTTTTCACTGTAACCCAACATCTTACTTTAAATTTCTAAAACAATAACAACCCGAAATTTTCTTAATCATAATTTATTTTCGTATCCATGCCAATAATGAATCAATTTTGATTTTACTTGTGACTTTGTAAAATTAAGTTTAACCTCAATGTGAAAATAGATTATGCAAATGTATTTACGATATCGTTACGATACGATATCGACGACATCGACGTTATATATAGTCTCAAATGTGGCACCAGGTATTTCCAATTAATAATTGATCATGATCGATATCGATACGATATCGACATAAAATTGTCGATATCTCGATATCGACTATATTTCGTTCTGGACATGTATGTGATATGTGGGAAAATTATGGGAAAAATAATAGCTGTCATTTGTAAACACATCAGCAATTATATTTAAATACATGTACCATATCCTACTTCTCTTGTTGAATAAGAGGAAGGAAAGTAAAAGAAGGAACCGTTTATTTGAACACAAAGTTGAACATTGATTGAAAAGAGAAACAGCATGCTAACGATGAGGAATATTTCTTGGAAACTTTTTCAATGTAAGTTGATAATTTTGAGAATTTCAAAGAAAGAAATATGACATTGTTTTGTTTAATGTTTTAAAATTAATTTTAATTTTGTAAATATATTTCTTAATTATAGATGTGATTTTTCCAAGGAAAGCAATAGCAACGGAGAATAATACGAAGTATAGTATAATGTATTTAATGGCTAACAAAACATTTCGACGAATTTATTACAATAACTTAACATTTGATATGAATATCAGATCTGAAACTTGTGGTATCTTGACTATATTTCGTCTTTTATATTCTTAAAGGCTTGAGAATACACTTAACAACACATTTAGAAAACTAGTAGAAACAAGGAACATTTCTTGTACTGCAATATTCTCAAACAATGTTAGTTTGGATGGAGGTAAGTATCCATCAATGAGTCGATAGTGACAGTGCCCTTTCGTTTCGTTAAAAGGGATGAAAAAATGCACTATTTCCCAAAAGTTTTATTGCTTTCTTGGTAAGAAAAACAGTTACAATATCAAATACATTCCTTTTCAGCAAACTCCTCTCATTTTGCTGGACATAACAACGATTCCTCAAGCCAAACGGATGATTTTATGTACAGGTTTTGATTATGCAGTGTGAGCGTTTTGAATAAAATGATAAAAATTCCGATTTACTTGAGAATGGATACGATGCCAAAACTGTTTTATGGGCTAGGTTTTTGCAGTGTAAGCTAATGATATTCATGATGAAAGAAAATTATTCAATACTACAATTATAGTTCCAAATTCCTTATCAAGGAAGAGAAAAATAAAAGTAAAATAAATTAAACATCCAGAAATATGCGGCTCTATCACTATTTCGGCAAGCTATCACTATTTCAACATTTTCAGCAAGAAAGGCGAGATTTTCACACTGTTTTAGTTGATGAAAGATGTATACTAGATCTTCAACTAAATTAATTTATTCACAAGTTCTATGGTCAATAAAAAGTCATGTTCAGCAAATTCAATGTATCATCAAGTTGAAGCTGACTGATATTTTTCATTACAATAATTATGCCATTTAACGATGAATTGTGTCTGCCGGTTGTGACCAATCAACAGGAGTTGCTTACTACTCCGAGACATTTGTCTCCTTTCCCTGATGTTGTCAGAGGACAGTGATGGTCCTCTCCCGATTTCTATTTCTAATAGACTTTTGAGTTTAATTACTGTTTGTAATCTCTATATTTCGTTCAACAAAAATTAATTTGAAGCAAGTTAACATGTATATGTTGTTGCATTGTTTGAGTTGAAGTGACAAATTATAATAATTTCCTGTCAAATTAGAATAATTTTATAATCTTTTACAGGTCTTGGTAATAAAAGAAAGCAAAAACACATAATAAAGTGTGCAGAGAAAATGAAAGACCTTGGCCAAACTAAAAGTTGTACCAAACCAGGTATCTTTTTCTTCTTTCTACATGTTTTGAATGTCCCTTTAGAATCAAATTAAAATGTATTAGCTCCTCTTCTAGCTCAAAGTCCATTTCTTGTTCGCTCACCACAGTTTTAAGTGACTGTAATTTTATGCATGCGCTTTCCAGGTCGCTTCGTATTCATCCTGATATGTTTAATTTATTTATGGAAATTTAATTCTTCCTTAATTCTAATTTGTTAAACTTTTGACAGCATGTACCAACGAATTAAAAGTAAAAGCGATGCTCTTGTTAAAAACCATAAGGGATCACTTGATCAGAAATACACATTAGTTTGCAGTATGGAATTACATGTATAAATAACTTTAGTATAATAAAACTTGACATTTCTAAGGTTAAAATATTTAACCCTCTGATAAAATTTAAATCCTTAGAAAATAAATGAGCACAGATATCATTGATATAATTTTCTAGAGGATTCACTGCTTTTTCAGTACCAGGATGTGGTTGATTATATATTATTTTTAAAGCACATTCTGAGACAGTTTTGAATACTTTCAGTTTACAAAGTACTTAATTACACAGTAACATGTAGCTTAACTCAATAAAGAGGAAAATACTTTTAAAATAGATACTCAATATCATATGAAAGAAATATGTAATTTTAATGTTGCTGAATATATATCACATCTTTAATCTATTAAGGGGAGACAGGGAACATGTCACATGACTATAAAGACATATTACGTCATAATCGGTGATGATGTACTTATTAAACGTTGTTAAAATCAACAGTTCTTGTGTAATTTTATTCAAAATTGTAAAATTGTTTTTTAAACATTTAATTTTAGAAATTATAATTAATAAAGTTTTTAAAGATCTTGCCATCATGTAGATATTTTGAAGTTGCCCAATCCACACACCTGTTTCTCTTTACCCTGCAGTCTGACGTCAGTGACGTCATAGACGTAGTGTTTGAATTCTCAGTGCAGCGAGATCAAGTACACACACCCGCCATGATCAGTTTTATTTCATAATAAACAGGTCACAGTCAATGTATCGTGATAAATTTCTGAGCAGATTTTTTTTAAATGAATACTTTTCGTGTTTAGTAGCAGACATTCTCTCTATTTAGATAATTTTGAATGTTTATGTTTTTGTGTGACGTCACAATTGATTTCTCGCACTCGGAAAATACAAACGTGAAGCGTTTTTATGCTTACGTCTAATTCAACGATGTCCCGTGCGATATTTAGGTAAGCTTCACCCTGTGATATTTATGCAGTAAATAATTACTATGAGGGACTGACATTCAATCATAAATTTAGAAATATTTATTGACAGAATTTTTTCCAAATGAGGTTTTTGTCGTTGAAGCTGCCTTGAAAAATGCAGAAATTATCCCACCCAAATACTATATAAAATTAAAACAATTGCTTTCAGATAATTTAAACACTATGAATATTCTGAAATATTTGAGTATATAGTGTTATCTATCATATTTATCGTTTGTGCGTAAAACTTCGCATTATGGACTCTGTTATGGGCCCGTAAACATGAAGTATCTAAACGCCATACAAACTCTAAACAGGGCGGTATTTGTGGGTCGATATCTTTTAAATAAGTCAAGAAATCCCATGACAGGACCGTTTTAGGATGTTAAGTACATATTAAGTGAGCGTCTCAGAGAAAACCATGCAAAACATTCCACAAGCAAGGTTTATGTATTGATATCAATTTTTGTGTGCAATATAGTATTGATATACCATTAAAATTGCCACATATATTTTTTTCATTGTTGCCTTACTTCACGAGTTACAGGCATGTTACTAAAAATAGAACTGGTAGTCAAATTAGGAGCTAAAAATCATGGAATCTAGACATATTTGAGGAAGTCTCAACAAATTATGACATTTCAAACATTGAAAGTAATTGATAGGCATAAAAGTATGTTGCCTATAGTATCATTCAGGATAGTAAAATTTATTCAGAACTTATCCAGTCTAAGTGCAAAAAGGTCACAAATCGTCCAAAGTTCACATTTCCAAAAAAATTCAATTTTTATGAACTTTCAAATGACTTTTACAGGGTCCGTAAACGCTGCAATTTATTTTATTGCAATTTCACCTTAAAGTACAGACCATAATTAGGAAAATATAAAAAATCTATCTTTGGACTCTTCCAAGTAGGATAGATATGACGTCACGAACAATGCTATATTTTGACATACTACAAATCATGGTTTTACAGGGGAAAGTTTTAGTTTGCCTATTTATAAATATTTTTTTAAAAAATGTAATTTTTGTGTGCAATGTAGTATTGATATACCATTGAATTTGCCACATTTTTTTTTATTTTTGCCTCCGTTCACGAGTTAGAGGCATGTTACTAAAAATAGAACTTGTCAAATTAGAAGCTGTAAATCATGGAATCTAGACATATTTGAGCAAGTCTTATCAAATTATGACATTTCATGCATTGAAACTAATTGATAGGCATAAAAGTATGTTGCCTAGAGTATCATTCAGGATAGTAAAATTTAATTAGTACTTATCCAATCTAAGTGCAAAAAGGTCACAAATCGTCCAAAATTCAAATTTCCAAAAAAATTCAATATTTAGGTACTTTCAAATAACTTTTACAGGGTCTGTAAACGCTGCAATTTGTTTAATTGTAATAACACATTGAAGTACAGACCATAATTAAAAAAATATAAAAAATCTGTCATAGGACTTTTTCAAATAGCATAGGTATGACGTCACGAAAATGCTTTAATTTGACGTTTTGCAAATCATACCAGTAATGAAAATGGTTAAAATAGCTCATATCTAGTATTCATAAATAAGCTCGAAATGTTTCAGCATGTCACTTTATAATATTTCAGAACAAACAGGACAACTATAACACAATTCTATGTAAAAAGGACTAAAACATTTTAATACAGAACATATATGTTGTCATAGGTAACGACATTATCTTGGTATATTTTTTCTTTGAAAATAGCAAATGGTCGGTTACTTATTTGAACAGGAAAAGTTAAAGTTAATCATATTAATAAACATTTTTTTATATACAAAATGCAAAGTGTTTAAAAATTGTAAGAAATGTATTTTTGCCATGTAAAAATAAAGAATATGTTGCCCTGGAAATACCATATTTTTGGAGTTCTATCAATTTACTTTGAAAAGGATGAAAATTAGTTTACTAATTCATTACACTTAAATCAGAAAATCAAGAAAAGTCTTATATTTACAAACATTTAAAATTAAAAATGGTTTACAAATAAACATTGGTGTACAAAAACAAAGAAAATTATGCAAATGTTGCCATGGAAACATAATTTTTTATAAACATTTTTTTTTCAATTTTTCTGACATATTCAGGCAAGCTAGACTTCGAATACTATGAGAATACTTTAGATCGTTACCTTTGCTAATACACATATATATAAATATATATCTGACTTTAAGCAACTATTATTTGTGTTATGAAAGAGATACAAAACTTGAAAGAACAATTTTTACTAACATAGCATGAAAGCTACCATAGAAATGTTTACCAATTGGTTACCAAACAAAACAAAATTTTAAATATCTAGTGTTTAAATTGGAAATACATATATGCTAATAATATTCATATGCTAAGTGCATTTCACGAAATGCTGGAATTGGTATTTGTATCTTGAGAAATATCTTACACTATTTGAATAAATTTGCAAAATATTCACTTTTCACACCTACAAATTTATCAGAAAGGTTGCCATGGATGCACAAAATTATGTATTTACAGCATTCAACACATTTTCATACATAGCTGATAAAATCTGATGATGTTCTTCTGCCTTGAGATTCATGACAATTTCTTGGAGATGTTCATCATTCACAATGCTCTCTGTATCCACTAATTCAACTGAAAAATCTGTACGTCCCTCTCTGACTTTGCACTGTTTCTTCTTATTATTTATGTAAGATGCAAACAAGTTTCTTAGCTGATTTGCAGTCAGCCACTCATGTGGCCTGAAGAGGCGACAACCATTTTCATTGGAAGCTTTTTTAAGTTCTCCACTTAAGGCTGCGTAGTTAGGGCGTTTTCCTGTCTTCTCACAGTTTTCAAAAATCTGCTTTACATAGTCTTTTACATTTAGCGAGAACCTGAGGCATTTACTTACAGATTTTAATGCCCACCCTCCTGAACTTTGGGAACAGGTATCATCACTGTGAGAGGATACTGTCTCACAGATGTGAGTGTATTTGTCGCGAATAGCCGAACACTTCTCAGCCCAGATTCTTATTCCAGAATCAATCCCAGTTTCCTCTGCTTTTCTGTACAGGTGGTTCCCCAGAGCAAGATGTTTCTCGAGATTGGCAGACCTCAGATATTGTTTCTGACAAGAGGGATCTGGACAGGCATACAATTCATTTTCCAGTTGTGTCTGATCCTGGTCCTGCTCATCGACAGCTTCACTTCTGTTGTTAGGGTTTCTTTTTCTCACACAAACTTGTCCAGTATCAACTGCATGTGACGGAAATTCTTCTAAAACCTATACCAGAAAAAATCCATAATCCATTAGTAATACTTAACTGAAAGAATAGCATTTCTACTGTATATTGTAGAATTTAAAAAAAACAACTATTAAGATAATTTGTGTAAATCCATGCAAAAGTGATTATAGATTTGTAATTATGACAAGTACCTGGAAACCTTTCATTTCTCTCACATCAAGATGTTGATTTTTCAGGGGTTTTGTCTCAATGAGTCTTCCACAACCAACCTGGTATGCCTTTCTCCCAATTATTGAATCCATGTTAAATTCGAAGTTGTTCAGAAGGCTGACTTGAGGGATTTTGGATTTTATTTTTGGTTCCTCTGCATTGTCAATGGAGATAACACAGGCTTTAGTTCCTTTCAATCCATGATTGCTTTCTAAAGCTCTCTTCAAGTCTGAGGCAGACAGAACATCATTTCCTTCATCCAGATATCGGGCCACATGCATTCGACAGGAACCAGTTTTGCTGTCACAAAGATCTTTCCCAGATTGCGCTTCACTGAAGTTGAACTCTTTGATGGTAATAGGAAAATGGCAGTAATTCTGACTGACAAATGAAATTAATGGTGTACAGTGGTAGCATCCAGCATTGTCTGTCTTTAGGAAGATCTCTTGAAGGTTTGGAAATTGCTCTGACAGAGTTGGAAGGAGGTGCATAATGATATGAGCAACAGAAAACCAACCTTGATTTCCATTCTCGAGGATATGGATAAAGGTGTTCAAGTCGTAATGGTCTGGCAAGGTGCTAGCTGTTGCTTCAGGGTCACTCCTCTGGGTAATTAAACAGGATATATGCCAACTAATCCCCCTCTTTCCAAAGAAATTTGACTGTGTTTTTCTGTACTGGAGAGGAAGGAATTTCATGGCCCAATCCATTATCAGTAGTCCTTGGTTTAGGTCAAGGTGTTGTAAGACATCTGATCTTGCAAAGTCTTGATGAACAGTTCTGAGAAGATGAGCCTTCCAGTCCTTGATGGCTTTTGTGGTCATGACAATTTCATGCTGCAATTCCTCCATCAAATCCTCAGATGGTATTTGAACTGTTTCCATGGCTTCCTTGATGCATTCTGTAAGTTTGTCTATCAAAACACAATAAGAGCAAGTGTCTGAATGTTCATGGTCACAATTACTTGAAAAGCATGTGTCTGCTGGATCACTCAGGGCATATATTGTACAATGATCACTGCATGATGAACTTCTGCTAAAATGACTCTTTGCATCAAATTTCAAATGCTGATTACAGATGTTGATCATGTCAATCAGATTCTCTTTTTTCTCTGTCTCCATTCCATATTCACCAAGTCGTGTCACAACCTTGTGTAATGACTCCATGGCATCCATTCCAAGGGCTGTGGTGTTGTCAAGTCCATGCATTGCTTTCCTTTTTGATGCTCGACAGGCTTTGAGGATTCTGTACAATGAAGCACGGCTAAAAGTTTGGAAATCTGATTCCTTGCAATACTCTTGATAGTTTGCAATGATTCTGGCACTCACAGCATTTCTGATGACCTTTGGAATCTGCACCTTTTCTCCACTTGACAAATGTAGCTGTGTGGCACCAAAACCAAGAACCTGGGAAACTGAGGGCATAGATACATATTCAATAAAATGCAGCAGTTTTGGTCTGGTCAGACATACTCTGTATATCTTTGGTGGATTCAGCATTTGTCCTGGTCCTATGACTGAGGCATGTTTTCTAGCTGCATCAATTTTGGACTGTGTAAGAGATGGTATAAGCTGAAGAAGCTTTTGCTTTGTAAAGTTGTTTACAAACAATGACAGGATCTGCTGTTGTGTTTTTCTGTCTGATGTGGCATGATAGGCATCTATCAACTGTTTTGTGGCTTTGTCTATTTCTTTGCTCTCATTTTCAGATGTTGGACAGATTTTGGCAAGAATGGTGTCTTCTTGTCCTGGGGCAATGATGGACAGAACTATCATTACAGCTTCTTTAGCCTTGCTGATATAGTAATACTTTGCAGACTTCGCTAATTCAGACCAAGGTCTTGTAAGCTGGGACTTTAGAGGTTGAAACTGATCTCCTGAAAGCAAAATAGTCATTGTTAGGATATAGAATGTAATTTGTTATATAAGGAGAGTAATCCTCTACTGGAATTCACAAACTAGAGGCCCATGGGCCACATCATTCATCTAGGTCAATATGGCCCTACTGTTCTTTATCAGCAGATTTCTTCTCCTACACATTCATATGTAAAGCTTTGATCACATTAGCCACACCCTCCCCCCAGGGTTCATGTTTTAAATGAAATTGAACCTTCACTACCTGAGGATACTTTCATATTCATATGACTCATAATGGCTTTGCTATTCTTGATTACAAATTCTTTTTTGTCCGCGACCCTACCCTGGGGAGGGGGGGATAATTTGAACAAACTTGATTCTACTCTACACTACATTCATTGACATGGAAATCATGCTTCTGACTGACTGATCATGACTTTGTTCTTAATGAGAATAAACTCAAACTCAGTTACTCAGACGTATAATTTTTTTCCATATTCCAAAGTACATATCTTTATCAAAAAATTACCAAAAAATAACTTAAATGTGCATACGATAATAAGAGTGCCATTGCCCTTACCCATTTAAAACACCAGTTATCGCCTGTGGCTGTGTTTATACACTAATTAGTGACCAATTACCTGGTATACAGCTTTTCTCACCTATTGCGGTCCTATCGGTGTATCAAAGTGATACGTTTTGTTTGTGTGTATTTTTTAAAATAAATCAATCAAGTACAATAAATCATTTTCATTGAACTCGATGTTTTTAAACATGCACTCAAAGCGTAATAAAAAACATTGGGGTTTAAAAGAAAATTAACAGACTTGTATTTACAATTTTACCGAGTACCCGATTACTTGATCCAAAAAACGTCCGAGTAACTGATTATCAAATATTGACCGATTGACATCTCTCTCTCTCTCTATATATATATATGTATATATATATTTGTATGTAAAAACTTGATCCCCCATTGAAGCCCTATCCTACCTGGGGGGTCATGATTTGCATGTAATAACTCTTCTTACCTGCAAGTCTCTGCAAAGCTTCATTTAGTTTTTCTTTCGGTGTTTTGTTCTTTTCATACCAGTCCTGAGAAGAAGGTACATGTAGGGATGGGGTACAGGAACCTGTGGCTGGAAAGAAAAATTAATTGTTAAATTAATTAGTTTTATACTACAATGCCAACTAGAAGCAAGTAAGACAAAATGTGTAAATGCTACAAGAGGATGCTTCCAAATCCATATTACTAAATCATCGCTTAACTATTGTTATCAAGATCTTAAGATGTGGCCCCATCCTACCCCTGGGGGGTCATAATTTGAACAAACGCTGTGAGTTGACGTATGAGCCACATTGGACCAAGGGTAGAGAAGATGAGCTATGGAGAAGGATTTTTTATGTAACTTTGCTATGACCTTGACTTTAGACCTAAAAACATGGTTCAATGTCACTGCACACCTTTTACCCAAAGGCAATCTTTGGGTGAAGTATATTAGCCCCATTGGAACAAGGGTAGAGAAGATATGCTCTAGAGAAAGATTTTTCATATAATTTTGCTATTACCTTGACCTTAGGCTTAGACCTAGAAACATGGTTCAAGGTCATTGAACATCTTTAACTGATTGGGCCAAGGACACCTTTAAATGATTGGGCCAAGGACTAGGAGAGAGAAGATATGCTCCGGACAAGGGATCTGGGATGGACAGATGGACGGATGGATGGAAGGACAGGCAGACTGATCACTATGGGGTGCCCACAGAGTGGGGCCCTAATAAATTGAAGTAATATAGTACACTAAATAAAATACTAAGTTTACATGTAAGTGATTTCTGGCAGTATCAAATACTCACAGGAAATCTCAAACTCCATGTCTGTAGTTAAACTCCCTGTGAAAATTTCTTGTGAACATGGTACACCTATAATGAATTGATCATGTAATATCGAATGAATACAGTATATTGATAGAATAAAGTTAATATATTCTCTTGATTCTACTTTTACTGTAATCAGATATGACTGGATAAGAATGAATTTAACTAAATAAACTTAACCCTTAAAAAATCATGGTCAATTGTCATAATGATAAGTCAGATTTTGCACAGATTATATGTCTAGCCTTGCTATTTATATTTTATTTTAATTTATGATAATTACTTTGAAACAAAAATTTAATCATTCTGACTTATTGCTGCATTATAGAGTTAGTTACATGTACCTCTATGACCATATTGATGGTAAGATGTACTATTTTCATTCATACAAGTGTACATACTGTTTTTATCCTGAATCTCAAATGCCATTCCTTGTTCATTTTCAACAATTTGGGTATCCACCAAGTGCGACTGTAGACATTCACCTAATGAAATGAACCAAATTCATTCAATTTCCTTACATTTATGCTATAAATTTACTTTATAAGTGGTTTAAATTTATAGAGATTATAAATGATAAATGGATCAAAGCACAGATTATTGTATATGATATCTTCTGAATTTGCCAGACATACTTTCCTGTATTATTAAAACAATAGATCTTGAGAACTTTATAGTAAATTTTCATTGGAATACAATTAGATGTCCAAAATAAAGTCATGTAGTCTACTTACAAAGTAATTTCCAGAAAGAATGGCAAGAATGATGATAACACAATAGTGAATAATCACATACATTATCAACATAAAACAATGAAAAATATTTTACCTTTAAATTTTGACTGTGTGCATTTGCCTCTAATTGTTGTACAAATTTGTTCACACCACTCTGAAAGTAAAATAATGTGATCTTCTAAATATGTACTTTTTTTTAATAAAAAAAAAATCAATTTGTCAGGAATGGCACAAGTCGCATGCCATTGTGCAATAATGTACTAAACTAGCAAGGTATATTGCATACCATATACATGCTATATTGCATATCATATACATGCAGCACTGAAGTTTCAGAATTTCATGAGTTTTATAAAAAATGTCCAAGTACTTTCTACTTAACAAAGGATTTTGTCTTATATGTATAAAATCATTAAGCAAAGAACCCTTTGTCATTCTCAATTTTTTTTCCTAAAATTTCAGGCTCATAGAAAGCAATTTCAGTTGGGGGAAAGGGGAGCAAGGCCAATCAGTTTGAGTTGGGGGCACTATCAATTAACAAAAATTTCTTGAACAGGCTAAAAAAAGGTCATCAGTTGTGAGGGGTCACATGTATATATATATAGTAGCTAATTTTTCTACAGTATTCTATACATGGGGAAAATTATTTCCTAGTAATAACCCCCCCCCCCCCCCCATGGCCATGCATTTAGAATCTGAAAATTGGTTACATGTATCTCTGTGCAATATGCATATTAGCTAGCTAATGCATAGTTAACAAATATAATATTAGTAATTACCAAGTTCTTCCACAAACTCTAAATTGTAAGATGGAGAGACATTCTTCTTATGTTCCATTGAGCACCTCTTGCATATTGCTACAAGACAAGTAAATAATGCACATTATGTCAAAGTACAAGTACACTCTTTTAAACAGAACTTAATTTAAGGCATATACACATCACTATTTTTAAATTCAATTCCATTAAATTTCCTAAGCTTAACATATGTATTATAAATAGTGATCACCTGTTGTACACAGTTTTTATAGATAATATTTTATTATTTAGCTTTCAATGAGTGCCTTAATTTAGATTACAACATTTAATGCAGTTTCCAATAATGGGCCTAAATGACAATCTCCTTTTTTCATTTAAAAAAATTATACATAGGATCTCCCATGATTTGTAGTTGGATATGATTTTTATCCAACGAGTTGTGTGATTTTTATCCCCGAGCCTTGGCGAGGGGATAAAAACACACAACGAGTTGGATAAAAATCATATCCAACTACAAATCATGGGAGATTCTTTTTATCCCATGTTTAATACTTCACAACCGATGATTCACACTGTTTTATATAGGACTCTGTTATATTTTACTTCCTCACGCTAACGCAAAAACCATTGTGACGTCATAACTGCACTTAAGTGTGGGATATGAAAACGATATCCCATGAGCTATATCCACGGGATAAAGGTGTAAACATGGGATAAAATGGTTTATGTAATTTTCAAATAAATTCCTAGCATACCATATAAGTCTTTTTACTTGCATGCAGTGATCTGTTTGTAAATCACTTGTCATTTTCTCAAATTACTTCATGTATAAGCTCTTTATTTTTCTTGAATTTATAATTATTTACTGTAGATTTATTCCACTCTTTCATTACATAATTCAAAGCACTTTTAAAATAATCATTTATTGAAAAATTGATAACTAGGTTCACAATAATTATAACCAACCTGACCCTACTGGTAATATTTGTTTTGTCTTTAACCACAGTTCTTTGCACAACGTTGGACTGGCTCCTCTGTCTGCTTTTATCTTTCCCTGATGACTAGGATAAGAACAGGTTCGCCTGGGTCTTTTCCATCTTGCCCCCAACTCTTCACGGTGCTTTATGCATATTTTCATCGATAGAACGGTTTTATCAACCGTGAAATACCCACTTCGATATAATATTAACATATACTCAGGGCATTTGTGGGCATCATAAACATGCTTGTGTATAATTTCAGCACTTTGCAGAGAATATAGATGGTTCAAAATATCTCTGTCACATTCATAAATATGAAACATTTCGGCAAAATCACAATCAGATTCACCATCATGAAAGTCACACACAGGTGGTGCTTGCAAATGAACTCCATTTCCAATTATAAATAAATCAAATCAACAATAAAAATAATGGAAGTCATTCTGGTTAAAATGATCTGACCACATAGATCTTAAAAGTTTAACCAAACTCATCATGATCACTGTTTTTGACCTCCATTTGACTTCCCTTCTTTTTTCTACCTCCTCTGCCTGGAGATTGCATTTAAGGGGAGGTAAATCTCATAATTTTTTTCATAGACACAAAACTTATCTACCCGATTTAAACAAGGAATATATTGATTTAACAAGTATTTATGGCCAGAAAACATTTTTTTTTTAATTAATTCAAAATTTTAGAAACGTTTAGGGTCTAAATGTCTAAAATATAGATAAATTCAAGAATGACCTAGAATATGCTTATTCCATAAATGTATGGGTCAATGTTAATCAATTGTGCAGTAAACCTTGAGAGTCCAAAGATGGATTTTTTTCCAGATTTGATTTAGGTCTTCTAGTTTTATAATCTAGTAAAAAGGAGAAAATACAAGCGTTTACGGGTATATTTATACCTAATTCAAATTTGGCATTTTCTGAGGCATCTAGCAAAGGTGTAGATATGCCAGTTTTCTAAATTCTACCTAACCTTTATTAAAGCAGTACTGTCAAAGCAACTTTGTTTTATTGAAAGAATAAGACATAGATAACTTACATATAAATACAAAGTTTGTATGAATTGTTCTCTTATTTTCATATTTTGGTACTCAAAATATATCGTTTTTAGTATTTTTTTCACAATTTTCAAGGGATATTTGGGCCATTATATAAAATAGGTCAAAGCTAAAAATAGAACAACATTGAGGGGTAATTGAATTCAAAATTTGGACTTTCATGGGATGCTCTTCCAGTTTTATACCAGTTTTAAAATATTTGAGATGTAAGCTTGTGGACCATTTTTGCCATTTTGCATGGTTTTCTCTGAGATGCTCACTTAAATTAGTAATATAAAAAATACGAAAAAAATTCATTGACAGGATTTTTTCTGCGAAAGGTCCTCTTCCTCCTTAAGATAGAACAAAAGCCATATATAAATGATATTCATCACATCTTCATCGCCAAATTCCAGTCAATACTGAGAACACGGCTCTACTAAGGATCATGCAGTTTATCTTTTTTCCTTAAACATGCTGTTGTTTTACACCCCCTTAAAAATTGAGAGAGTATATAGTGATCGGAATGTCCGACTGTATGTCCGTCCTTGTGCAAGTCCGTCCGTCCGCCGGTATGTTATTCTTTTGGATATTATCTCAATGAAATTTAATGAGACCTTCACATAATTATTGTTATATATTGCCGTTGTGACCTCCAAATTTGCTTTTGATCTGAACCATATCTTGAGTTTCCCATAGTAAAACATCGAGACTGCCATTCTTTCTATAATATTAAAAGGCACTTATCTCTTATTCCTTATTCCTAACTACACCGTCCTATACCTCCGAATAAATCATATGATTCCTTGACAGATTCTTTATTACATGATTCATTGCGCACATCTTTTATCTCTTTTTTTTTTATCTGAAGCTCAAAGCAAAACATGGACTTTGCCATTATAATCATATGTGAGGCGGGGAGTATAATTTAGCTCAGTGTTTAAAGCATCTCTTGTCGAACACAATGTCGTCTTATATATTTATTTTTTTTTATCAGGTTTTCTAGTCTTGACACATGTTCTATCAGCAGTGATTGGATCTGGAATCTTATATTGTGCACTCTTCATGAGAAAATTAAAACGCACTCTGTAAGTTTCTAATTGCTTTTACTTAACAATTTTTATTTTTTTGGTTGAATTCTGCAGGGATTTTAGAGGCAGGAAGATTTTTTATTTAATACACTAATATTGTACAAATATAAATTCATTTCCCCAAGGAATAGTTACGTGTAATTGGGGATGTAATTAATGTTAAATGAATTTCAGCTAATTTTAAAATACTTTTTAATTGTTGGCATTTTTCCTCTTAAAAAAGAAAGAATTTTAATGATTATACATTCATTTTCAATTAAATTAATTAGATCACCTATATTTTTCTTTAAAGAATGTTCCAGAAATCATGTAAGTAAAAGCCAGCGTGAGTCCTAATCAAACATGTTGAAGTCTATTACTTTTAAATTTGATAAAGGAACAATAAAAACAAAGAAGAAAGAAACAGGAGCAACAACTATCTATTTTTAAATCAAAAGGGTGATTCAACAGAAAAGATTTCACGAATCAATCACCATGATGAAGGCGTCTATTGTGAAGTAACAGAAAAACCCGTGAGTTAGTTTGTTTTGACAATGTTTTAATTTTAGTGTTGTTTAAGTTGCGATTATTTTAACTAACCTGAGTCTGACGTCCAAGTCAGCTTTTCTAAACTAACAGTTTCTAGCGTCTACAGTTTATTTCTGTCGTGTGTAATCCTTTTCATGAAATGGCAACTACCAGACAAAATTGCAAACATTATTTTGATTCATGACGGTCATTTATCGAAAGCAAACGATGTAACGGGTTCAAGGGGAAGTAATTCCGCCAGAAACTCGCATGATTCATTGCAGTGCTTGATAAAGATTTTATTTGTATAGCTGAAAAATTGTGGATCCCATTATCAACATATTGGTTCTCCGAGAACAAAAGTGATACCACTGTAGTCCAGTAATGAGAACATTGATATTGCTCATGCTACATGGAATCGTGCTTCTTCACAGTAAAAGTTGTAGTACACCAAAACAGATGACGAACATAAATGACTAATTTCCCTTTCTTAAACGTTATGCTGACAGGCTGTGAAAAGTAGAACTTTCATAGCTCAAATATGACTTTTACATTCTACGACGAGTTAAGTTATTGACAAACAAGTTGAAAGTCATCAGGCTTTTCATTAAATGGTCTTGTCAGCAAATACAATATAGTCAAATTCTTACTTTTTCAAACTATTTGCAAGGCCATTAATTATTTACACTCTGAGTTGTCCTAGGATTTTTCCGCGATTTTCCGATCTTTAAGAGATGCAAACGTCAGGTTTGACCGGTCGGAAGGGGATGCTCACTCCTTCATGGCACCTGATCCCACCTGATTGGAGGTCCATGTTTGCTCCGCTCCTATTTTCCAATGTTTAATTAATATTCAAGCTCTAATCAACTTCGAAATCTCCACATATTTCATTTAACACGTCACTCATAGTGGCACTGAAACTTTATAGAACTGTAGCATAAAATTAATATTGCAAAATAAAGTAGAATTAAATAAAGCTTGAAAATCATTTGTAGAAATCGCTGTCAAAAAAGACGAGTCAGAAAAATGGTCCGTGTTATTTATCCTTCGTATGTTTTGAAATTGAATTTTTTTTTTACACATGACCTCTTTAATGTGGAAGTGGCCATAATCAAAGCAAATTGTTTAAAGTTATCAAAAGAACTGTTATTAAAATATTTTAAAAAGAAATGTTTATGATATATCCAATATATTGTGTCGGTTTGTTGCAACTGTGTATGAAATCAATGAACTTATTTTTCATCTAAGAATAATTTCTTTCTTATTTTCAAGCGATCATTTCCTTTTCATACCGATACCTTTATTGACCATTCTGCACTTAAGGGCCCGAAAATCGCCAGACTTCCAGATATTCCACAGCAGTTGAAAGATAACGATGAATACTTGACCCCTCTTAATAAATCTCCGCCATATGAATCTCTAATTTGGTCGGGATCGGCTGTAACACAAGCGACTTCCATGGTCGAAGAGGAAACATGGTCAAAGGGCAGTAAAAATAAAATTGATATCTTGAATGAAGTCGATGAAATTAACAATACTCTTGATCCAGAGTTGCCTCATCAATATGCTGTTCTCGAGAAAAGCTCGGAGATGGACCTTAAGTAACATGAACTTTTTGCACGTAATCCTTAATACGTTTAGTATAAGTGCGATAATATTGTAATAGAAATATAACTCAATCAATCAGTTCAGCAATCAAAACAAAAACAAAAAAAAAAAAAAAAAAAAAAAAAAAACGCAAACAAAAATTCCTAATGACATATATCCAAATGTAGTGAGGATTGTAATTTGTTGAAATGTTCAACTTTACTTGATGTATGAATTTTCCATTTTTTTTTTAAATTAAAGAATTACTAATATGTGATCTCAAATAGTTTAGATTTTAATTTATCATGATGAATGTTTGCATTAAATTTGAAATAAAATGAATTTGTAAAGTTTTGATAATAAAGACTTTGAAAAAAATGGCCATTTTAGAGTTTCTAAAAGTTCTTTAGATTTTTTTGAGGATTCTCATCCAATTTACATCATTTTCTAGGATATCTGAACTTTCTTCGTAACAGCAACTAGCTCATCCATTGACCTTGTCCCTCTTTCGATACTGAAAGAGGTCCCTCTTTTCTCTGCTCTCAAGATACATTGTTTTATTGAACTTGTTAGCTATATTATGGATTGTTGTTTCTATATTTCATCTTTTTCAATATTGTTTGATGATTATGTCAATCTTAATTCAAAGTCCTTGTGCTCTCACATATTAATCATACAGCTTTAAGCAGAAAGTGTATTATAACTACTGAGACTAGCTTCTATTGAAAAATTAGAATTTTGCTTATTTTAAGCCATAGAATGAAATAAATAGTTCCAAAATATGGAGAAAAAAATTGACCTTGTAAATTCTTAAACTTGTGTACATGTTCATGCATTAACAAATTTATACTAGCATTCAGTAAAAGTCAAAGGTGAACAAAGAGGATTTAAAGCTTTACATGAAGTACATGGATTTATAAAATTATTGTCCAGCTCAGTTATTTCACATTTGATATAGTTAAATTTGGCTAAAATATATTTTTAATTTGATGTTTTCCTTTCTCCCAAATGTCTATTGTGTTCAGAATGTGGGAAGATTATTAATTAGATAAGCGATTATATCATCATGTATCGAAACATCCCACTTTTCGTTCAGATTTATTGAGAAACATCTTTGTTGTGTGAAGTGGAAACGGAAAGGGGAAGTAAACTTTGGAAAGTACTGATTGTTATATAAACTGTCTCCAAATGATGATAGATATCCATCATTTTTTATTGTAAGTATTTATAACACTCTTTTGAATTCTACTTTTCCTTGAATTAAAACGGTCTCAAATTTGTAAACGTCGCGTTCACGTTTTTCTATAATTTTACTGCAGTCTTCAAAAGTCCGTGTATCATGTGAGAAACATTAAAAAAAATGGATGGTAAGTAACGATTGTTGTTCAAATAAAATACACGTAGACTATCATTTTGCAAATGGTAATCAAATCTACAATAGCGGTAGACAGGACACTATGTTGGTCTGTAAGAATCGTAATGTATGATATATAAACACAATTTTCTCAGAAGGATTTGTCTAATTAAGAGGTAGTTTGCTTTAGTAAAATATTGATATCTTTAAAACAATACTGATAAATTTTGGTAACTAGTGTATCCGTTTCTTTTTAGATAGCGTGTGTCAAAAGAACTTGAATACATGTGCATACTGGAAAACGACACTTCCATTATGTAACTGTAAGACTCTTTCTAAGTATAATGAGATAGAATTATACTATATGACTTTGCAGTTACCTTTGATTATAACATCTGAATTAATTATTTGATTACCTCAAAACTCAATTTGCAATTGTAATTTTAATCACAAAGTTGAATTGAATTTGACTTCGTATTTTGAACTTATATGTAGTCGGATTGATTTAATCTGTTTCTCCCCTATCGCCTATATTAAAATCAACAATCTTTAATACAAAGAGCAAGAGCCACTTAGGGGGTTTTTTTTGGCCCTGAAAATTTCTGAAAAATCACAACTGCGGAGTTTAGGTTAAAAATGCAGTTTTTTTTCATTTGGAATGTTGGTGACCTTGTATCTACTGAACATAACATAGTTTTTCCTCTAGTCTATGTATTTTGACGTCATAAATTGCGTCATTTTTTTTACCATATCATGTAACTTTTTAAAAAAAAATTATTCTTTATTTTATTATCGTTCTTAAAATGGAATTACAAAATGAAAGATCTGTTTTTGAAGATGAAAAACATGTTTATAATTTTGCATGGTTCGTGAGCTGTGCTTATATTTTAATTCTTTGCTGAAAGTAGTCAAATACGCATGTTTTCTGCATTATGAATTTTCTAAAAGCCTGTTTTCCAATACCTACATTCTCAAATTGCAATTTTTTTTACAGAACATGAAAGCGCGCAGTCTCTACTTTATTTTGATACTTGAAATGGGAAGGACGGTCAACGTCAATTAATTGATATTAGGACAGGGCCATTTTATGCATAAAGTGAACCTAGCTCTTTCTATTCTTTAAATGAAAGCTGCGCTGCTTGATTTATTAAAATTAGATGTAACTGTCTATTTATAATGGTACTTTGAAATGTTTTAGTTGGTCCTATCTATAAGCCAGGCGCAAATGGAGGAGAGGAAATTGTCTTTACATATCCCGCAAAGAAAATATCTGCAATACCGTCATTAACAGACCGGGCTTCACAGAAAACAACGACAGCAACAACAATAACAACCAGTCTCCAAACAGGCATAAACCTTTTGTTTTTATAATTTTCATCGTTTGTCCGTTCATGACAGGAAGTGCAAGTCGGCTTTACCCAAATTAAGTAAACAAGTTGACAAGGCATGGTTATTCCTCATGGCACCTGACCCCACTCTCCTCATATTTTGGAGGTCCTTCTTTGTTCTGATTTTGATTCTTTTTGCAATGTACTTGTGAGCTTAAAAGAATTTGTTATCTACATATTTAATGAAGAAGTTCATAATGATTTTAAAGCTTTTCCACCTAAGCATTTCATTTTTGCATTTCTTTAACTACTAGTATGTACTTTTTTAACACCATCACTAAAAATGATTCTAATCAATTACCGGTAAAAAAAAACTAATTATAACCATTGAAAAAAAAATATGTTTAACTTTTCATGTATACACTTTTACGGGATTTTATCTATAGTATATTTAGCTCTGTTAGTTGATGTACATTCAGGGCATGTTTTTTTTCCTAGATTATATCACAAAAGAACAGACAATTTTGCATTCTGAATATCCAGAATCATCCAGATCAAGCACCAGAGGGACGGGTAATTAGTATTTAGGATTCTTAGTTATGTGATTTTCATACCGTTGAATACTATTTTAATAGTATTATACTATTAAATCAAAATCTAAAAAAGAAGAAGAATACTATTCGCGCAGAAAAGGATATTAGATTAATCTATTTGACTTGTTTAGTGAAACAATCTCCTAATGCATCTTCGTAGATGATGATGTATATTAAATTTAGATAATTCATTTAATTAGGACTCGGTAAATATCGTAACACATATTTCATTATTGTTCTATTTATCTTGAATACGAGGTTTTAAAATTCAAAATAGTTGTTTTCCTAAGATTAATCATTTGCTCTTTTGATTACGCTACAGGGGGAGTAGACTCAAGTACAAGTGCGTCTGTTGGATTTGAACCGAGAGTTACAGTAGCAGAAGGTGACACATATACACATATCCCCACAGGTAAAATTAATCTTGTGAATAAAAATTCTTTTGATTGTCAAAGTGAACAAAATGGAAGATAGAATTTAACTTACTATTAATTTTAGTTAATATTTTTTTCCGTTTTATTCTAATAATCGTGATCTAATTGAGAATGGTTGAATGAATGTACACACGTACATTGATGATGCTTTTTATTTTAAATTTGCAGTTGATGTTGTTCCTGTATCCATAGGTGTGGGGCTATTTAGCTTTGCCTTAGGAATGATAATTGTGATGTTAATATTTAGAGGCAATAATGCAAGAAAAGCAGCTTCAAGGTATCATCTAATATTCATTTATTTATGAATTTAAAGAAATTAATATAAAGTTTCTACAAGGGTTAGAAATTCTTTGTTAAATTCTTTAATGTCACAGCTGTTGCAGAAAAAATAAGCGGTTTATGTAATTTTTTCTGCAATAGCTGTTATGTTAATTCCCTTACTAACATACAATGGAAGACATTTTTTTATATACACCTGCATGAAGAAACATTCAAAGTATAATTAAGTATGTTATATACTGTATTTAATTTATTGAAAAATGTGCCGTTGTATGTATGACTGTTGGAACAGCAACTGTTTCGAGAAATCGCGAACGAGAATCGAACAAGGCCTAGGGCCTCCCATTCACGAAGCGAACGCTTTACCACTATGCTACAGTGACTGGTTTATCAAGTTGAAGAAACTTTAAAAATTTCAAGTCTATAATGTGGATAAAATCAATATTTATATTCTTTTGTTATTGTTACAAGTCCAAAGCCAGGTCAACTGAGCTAGTTTTTGATGGAAATAGATCACATGAAAAAAGAAGAGAGAAATATTAATTTTGTTTCTTCTTTATTCTATATTGTCTTATAATTTGATTTCACAGAAGGAACAGAATAGTCGAATATTGCTACAGAAAATTAATAATATCTATTTTTGATCGACGAACAATCACAAGATATGTATCATTTATAACATAAATAGATATAAAAGAAAATGCCTTTATTTTGTCAGCAAAAAAGCCAATTCAAATCATATAGAAATGCAATAACATTAAAGCAATGGTAGCATTATCAAATTCAATAAATGTGCATGATTAAACTACTACATTTGAAGAAACCTTATCTTAATTCTTAATAACTACCAAACACATTTTCAAAACTCTAATTTCCTTAAGTATCGGTGACTGAATAAGATATTACTACCGTTTATCCAATTTTACAGAAAAAGACGAAATCAAACTGAAAGTGTTCACCTCATTGACACTGGGAATCAACTTAGCTACCGGGAAGCTGCAAACGTCGAGCAAACAGAAAATGGTAGATACCAAGACATCCAATCCTTAAATACAAACATCCGGGTAAGTTTACAAAGATAAAGATTATTACAATAGATTGCTGTTTCACCATATGACAAAGCTGTGATAGAATGTGGTGAGTTTCAGTTATAGTCTGGTCCTGATTTTTAAAATGAAGGCTAGAAATAACTTCTAACGGCAAATAATTATTATTTGGTCCAGCATACTTTTTTAACCTATTTCGAGTATGCTGAATCCGAAAAAATATGCTGGCCTTCATGAAAATGGCGTTAAAGAGGTCAAAATGGCGATTCAAAATGGCGGACATCCATTTTTTCAATTTTCTCTCAATGTTGTTCAAAATGGAGAAGTAATGAGTGAATATCTAACTGAGTGTAATAAAATTATAAGAATTATAATAGGATGCTAACATTATTAGTTAAACTCAGAAAATTTAGTCGTTTTTATGCTTAATTCGAATTTTCTCTGACTTTTTTTGTCTATTGTTTCTATATTCTTCTTTGTTCAGGATTTTACATTTGCAAATATCCATACACTTCAGATTTGTATTTTTCCCTCTACATCTCACTATTCTACAATTAAATGATAGTGCAGCTCTAAGTTAAAAGTCAAAATGGCGATTCAAAATGGCGGATATTCATCTTTTTCTTCAAATTATTGAATTCTTAATGTCGTTTACATGGGAGAAAGGATTTTTGAATATTTTACTGAGCGTAGTACAACTATGTAAAATGACAATAGAACACTGATTTGATCACTTTAAATCGGAAAATCTAGTCGATAAATTTGAAATGTGTTAATTAGCTCAAAATGGCTATTCAAATGATGTCTTATACACTCGAATTTCGTAAAATACCCAAACTGCTTAATTCTGGTTCGTTTGGCAGAAAATAAATTACAGTTTGAATTGTTTTTTTTTTATTCATGAAATAATGTTCAAATATGCAATGAAAGTTGGAGGATATTTTTGTTAATGACTTAGGATTTTTATAACACAGATTTTAAATTTGTTTAATTACTTCTATTGTTAAGATAAATCTTTGACGACAATTCCGAAGACATTTTACCTTTTACCTGTCTCACCATGCTTCTTCATATAAAAAGTTAATAATATCATGCAATAATTGCTGTTTTGAGGACAATATGAAAATTAAGCTACCCCAAGAGCAGTATCCCTCGAGCATTAAGGCGAGTGAACATTCAGTTGTTGGGAATTCTTGATCTATTTTTAGTCCAGTGTAGAATAAAAATGTTTATGTTCATGTGGAAGGTCTATTGCAACATAACTGAGTATGATTTTTAAAATGATTGACCACGGCCAATTATAGGGCTAGAAATTGTTACATCATATAAATCTGAATATAATATTATAATATCCAAATATAGACATATATATTAAGAATTGTCAGTATAATATACGTAAACCATAAATTTTGTGGATTGTCCAGCTCTGATTCTGTATCCCTACATTTTCATTTTGTTATTTTCATTCAAAAATTCAACTGATTCTCAAATATTTCAAGCTGTGAAAGGATATTTTTGTATTGAACAGTGTATATAAATTAAAAAAATTTGAAAGTTACAAAATCTGAAAGAAGAAAATGTTTGTGTTTAACCCCCCCCCCCCTCGATTCTTGATACAACCTTACACTATCCTCACAAAAGAAGTATGGATCAAGTTGCTTTGTAAAGTTCTTGAAGTGTTCAAGAAATGTTGTCAAGAGAAGTTTGACTAGATCCAACTCAGGAATGGCTTAGGCCTATTGGTACGAAAGCTTGTAAGTGATAGGAATCTCGAGGAATCTGCAGGCGATCTTAAATTGCATAACTCTTCTCACAAAAATGTGATTTCAGATGATCAAGTTTGAGAATTTTCTTGCTAATAGAATGACTTTTCTACCCTAAAAGACAACAAAGGTATACGAGGTCACAAATCAAAGAGCTACATGTCTTGAATATCAGAGATTTTTTTTATATCCCCCGCTTGAAAAGCGGGAGGGTAAAGCGTAATCGGTATGTCCGTCCGTTTGTCTGTTACTCTTTGGGGTACCAATCTCTTATCCGCAACTCCTCTCATACCACTGAATGAAATTTGATGAAACTTTCACAGAATCTTTATTACATATTGCCATTCTGACTTCCTATTTTACTTTTTGATCCGACACATAATTTGGGTTTCCCATAGCAAAACATGGACACTGTCATTATATTCATATAGGAGACCAGGGTATCATTTAGTGAGCTAATTGCTCACAGTACCTCTAGTTCATTTTGTATATGGTTTTGGATAACAAAATAGACTTTTAACATTTGAACATGAATGTGTTGTTCCTTGAGTGTTGGTTGATTGATTGTATATTGTTGAACGCCAAGTCGGCAATTTTTCACCCATATTTCGGCAAACTATATCAGTTTGAATGATAGGTTTTTGAAGGATTTTGGTTTCTCTGGCGGCCCCCAGTGAGCTTACTCTTTTTTGAATTCCAGAGAAACGATCTTTTACATGCCAAGGGGGTTGTCATCCATGACACGGGGCACCATTTTACTTAAATGTTGAAAATACCAAAATTCCGAAGACAGACTGAAACATTTACCAAATAAACCTGGAATAGAAGATGTTAGGGGATAATAATAAGTTCTTATAAGTGCTAAAACGCAAGAACAAAGTGTTCGATGAAATCGGACAAGAATTTCTTCAGTTATATTTGATGTTGTGCCGAGGGATGTTTAGAAAGAAGTTTAAGTTGATAATTAAAGGATCGGGAGTGATTTTAGGTGGACGGAGCCTCAAAGGCTTTGGAACACGTACGGTCAAATACGAAGGGGGAAATTTAGAAACTCTTAATTCGTTTTCAAGTATTTTTTGTTCATATTTAATGGACTAATCAATATACTATATATATGAAAAAACAAACTATAATTTATTTTTTGAAAAACGAACTAGAATTAAGAGTTTCAACGAAATTCGAGTGTATCAGACGTCATTTTGAATCGCCATTTTGAGCTATTTAACACATTTCAAATTTGAACGACTAAATTTTCCAATTTAAAGTGATCAAATTGGTGTTCTGTTGGCATTTTGCATAGTTGTAATACGCTCAGTAAGATATTCACAAATCCTTTCTCCTATGTAAACGACATTAAGAAATAATTTTTTAAAAAAAAAAAGATGAATATCCGCCATTTTGAATCGCCATTTTGACTTTTAACTGTCAGCTGCGCCACCATTCAGTTGTAGAATAGTGAGATTCAGAAAAAAAATACAAATCTGCAGTGTATGGATATTTTCAAATGTGAAAAATCCTGAACAAAGCGGAATATAGAACAAAAGACCAAAAAATCAGAGAAAATTCGAATTATGTGTAGAAACGACTAAATTTTCTGATTTAAACTAATAATGTTAGCATTCTATTATCATTTTTACACTTATATTACACTCAGTGAGATATTCACACATTATTTCTCCTTTTTTAACGATATTAAGAGAAAATTAGAAAAATTGTATGTCCGCCATTTTGAATCGCCATTTTGACCTCTTTAACGCCATTTTCATGAAGGCCAGCATATTTTTTCGGATTCAGCATACTCGAAATAGGTTAAAAAAGTATGCTGGACCAAATAATAATTATTTGCCGTTAGAAGTATTTTTTTCTATAAATCGGACCAGACTATTACAGGATACAGATTTTGATTCATTCTCGTCTATCATGCATTGATCCTCTCCTTCTTTCAGCCATAACAATTTTCTTCAATGATAATTGTCCCATAATTGTTTTGAAATTTAATGTTAAAATTTTGTTTTTTACTTAATGTTTAAAAGATACTTAATTTATTCAAATGTAGATGACAAACCCACATAGAAACCAGGAAATTTTAGAGGACGTGGGTTATCGCAATATGGTGTTCAGAAACTACGACAATCCGGAAATGTGTTTAAAGAACCTTACTAACAATCATTCTAGTGCTGAATGCATTAATCATCCAGTCCAAAGTTATGATGGAAATACGTTTGAATTGAAAGATATGTAATTATTACGAATGGATGTTGATAAAAATATGCATTAAATTGGGAGATTTTTAGTTTGAAAATCCGATTGAGAGTGGAGCGTACCTGGTATTTTGTATTTTGTTTTTGCTACGGTTCTTGTTTTTAATTCATACGAATAGAGGTCTCTCTACTTTGTCGAAAAATGGTTTTCCCAATAAGGACAATTGTTTATAGAGTATTGAAAAGCACACGATTAAAACACTGTCAAAATCTACATCAATTCTGATGATTTAATTTTTCTATTGTTGTAGCTATTGTCTAAATTGTTCTGAAAAGTGATGGGAAGTGTTGTGCGCTTATTACCGTATAAGTGGAAATTTTAGCGAGAGGCAAATTTGGCGATTTGTCCTTAATAACTGGTATTTTATTTTTAGCGAGATGTAATTTTAGCGATTTTAAAATGCTCGGTAAATACCTTTTACAAATAAAATGCAATGCGTTATTCAATTTTAGCGATCTCGGCACCCTCGCTAAAAATGCCAAAATTAAATCCTCGCTAAAATTCTACTTATACGATACTTTCCCCATAATTCAACATTATTTTATTGCATATCATGTCAATCAAGAAAGTTTATCGAAAGACGGCTAACTCAATATAATCCCCCAGAATGTGGAAGCTGTTCCAAGCACTTTTACGGTGAATGATCTCGTCTCAAGTAAAAGTAAGTCATTTATAATCAGAACGTTTGCATAATCAGAACGTTTGCTGTTTAAGATTATATTTACTGAACCCTATATTCATTTTCTCACAATAATTTTAAGGCATATTTTCTATGGAGGTCCTAAACCTAGCTAGATGGTTGTGGTCGGTCGGTAGAGGATGCTAATTCCTCCACGGCAACTGATCTTATATGGAGATGACGAACAGTATTCGAGCCTATAAACTTTACAAAATTTGAGCGGAGCAGATACGGTCATCCCAAACATCAGGTGAAATAGAAGACTGAACATCCTGTACCGACCGGTCACACCCACCGTGTGCTCCTTGTCATGTTCAGGAAAATAAAAAAGGAAAAATCCTTTGACATGACTCAGTGTGTTAATGATGGCCTAACAGTCAATATGAAAAAAGTTTGTCAGCATCTGACATAATGATAAATTGCTTTTGCCGACAAAGTCATTGTATTGACCATTAAACTTACGAAATGATAACTGTAAACGTGACGGTTGATATTCTTGCTCAATCAATTTGACCTTTTATTCAATAACCTACTTCGTTTTAGAAATTATACATACATAGAACATGCTCTTCCGTATCGAATGAATGAGAGATGCGTGTATAAACAAGTGTGAACTGGTATAAACAGTATGCAGGTGACAAAGGTATATTACTGCATAAGTAAGGTGAATTGGCGATTAAAAAGTTAAAGTCACCATGTTTATGAAAAATATTGTAGATATCACGCGAATGTGACCTCCATACAGAATTTAAACTTTCTGTTGTGTTATAACTCTAGCTAAAAGGAGTTTCGTTTCAGAGTAAAAGTAGAATCTAATATTCTTAGTTGATAACACACATGTTTAAAGAGTACATGTATTCATGCATTTTGAGATATTTGGTGAGGATTTCGTTGAATTAATGATATTTTCATGGTCTGTGCCCGTTATTCTAGTACGTTATTGTGTATAAGTGTTTCTTTCTGCAGCTTTTCATGAGATCTACATATCTTCAATTTATTAAGTTTAAAAGGTACTGATCAATACATTCTAGAAAATGTTTCCATTTTGGTCGGATAATTCTTGTTTAATTTTTCATAGAACTTGCTACAAGAGAAGCTGTATAAGGTTCAAATACAATGAAGCTACGTGTCAAACTAGCTATAGTCCATGACATCATCGTAGTAGGCGAGATTAAAAGGCCTTAAATTTTTATATTTAAGAAGTGTTTATGGCAAATTCAGTTACAAATCGATTACTATTTTTTGATAGAAAACACTTTTTTGGTATCCATAAAAAACCATAAGTATTTGTGCGCTTAAAAAGATAGTCCAAAGGAAGTCACAATCGTTTATCAGAACCTTTGCATGGACTGATATAAGTATAAGAAAGTGCAACCCCCCTCTTGCTATTCAGTTAGAATCAATCAAACCATAAATTAAAATATTCCCTTTTAAAACGAAAAAGCGAAATTTAGATTTGCTATACTTTTAACAGAAAAAGAAACTTAAGGACCGAATTCAAGAGAAATCCAACACTACCGCCAAAGAGAAGTTACATGTACCCTATCGTTGATTATGTGAATTCGTTATCATTCAAGTTCCTACTTGCTTGCATTTTACATGTACATGAATTTGCATGTTCTTCAGACTATAAAATATAAAAAAGTGAGTTAAAGTCCAAATCAAGTTTTTGTCAACCTACAAAGATACTGATCCTCAGGTTCAAGTAAATATTCTACTAAGTCACCTTCTGTAAACCACACTTAAACCGGCACTAGCTTCACGCTTACTGTGCAACAATATATTCAGAAAGTGGGGTTAAGCAAAGATTGAAAAAAAATCACAAGAATCATTAGACATTTCAACTTTTTATACAGCATAACCTCACTATTCATTAAAAATTCTACCATCTTTACGTCATAAACAGCTGACTGGTCAATAAAAATTGAACTTGTGAACAACGTATTTACTTACCTTGTCATTGGTCACTTGCAATATATTCTATTCAAAAAATTCTGATTTTATACACGTCAAGTACTCTGAAGTTGATATTTTAAAAATGCTTGAGTTCCAATGGGTACCACCTCTACCCGTTATTTGCAGACCTTTTTGTTTTAAATAAAACAAAATTTGTTCAAAATTTCATGCCCTAAAATAAGAATACAATTATATTACCAGTCCTCCAAATTAATATTTAGATATATAGACGACGTTATGTTAATTTTCAATGTTTATTTCCATTCATACGTCGATACGATATATCCCACTGACCTTGAAATAAAAGATACCACGTTAGACTCCTCTGTCTCATATTGTAACATTTGGTAATCTACCGACAAAACTTTATTGTGAACGTGGTGACCTTATCCTTTCAATAGCCAACCTCCCCTACTTATACAGCGATATATCCTTTCACCTGCATACAATCTAAATTAACAAGAAAATCAACAGTCTCGTTTAAAGTCATTATTTCATAAGTTTTATAGTCAGTACAATGACCTCAGCAGATACAATGTATCATAAAGACAAATACTGACTGACCTTTTTCATACTGCTTAATAAGTCATTTTTCATAAACTGATTTGTCGACAGATTTTTCAGTTTTCCTCCGATCATACAAGGAGCATACGACGGTTTTGAGCGCTCGGTAGGGAACGTTCACTCTTCTATGTCACCTGGTCCCTCCTCTAATTTTTGATAGGTCCGAGCTTTTTCTGCTGATTTGTATTGTTTAATGGACTTTTAAGCTTAAGGGGACCGACTGTAGTTTCCACTGCGCGATATTTTGCGCATCATAGTAAAATGAAGCTTATTTACAGTTTATAAGCAATTTTTGCACTTAATTAAAGAAAAATGATAAAATTAAGAAATTATTGGTTGAAAAATTTAATTACAATTTCATATATCTGATTTTTAAAAAGATTTTTCAAGTGATTGTAAGATTGTGTTTTCGACGTTATGATAACGTGAGGCTCTTAAAGAAGGGGTAATAAAAATGCTATAAAAGAAAAAGTAATATATATATGGTGCTGAAATTTAAAACATAGAAATTTGAGAATCTTCCCTCTATTTTCATTATTTTTGTATAAATCTTTAGTATGCTTCATATTTTAGTACACTATAAAAAGAAAATTCGTTAATTTTTGGTATTTTGAGATGTCCCCTCTGGAAAAAAGACGGTAGAGTTTGTTGTTTCTTACATATAATGTACAATGCAGTGTTACTCATCATATATTATAATTTGAGCAAAAAGTCTATTGTAGTAGTTGTATCATTTGCTGAAAAGTGCCAAAAATGGCACTTTCCTATATAATCCTATCATATAAATGTACCTGTATTTTGAGAAGGTCCCTTATAAATACTTGAACGGTAGATTTTCCCCAAACTTGGCATATGCACTTGAGACAATGTAAGTTATATATAGTTTACAAATAAAGAGTTTCGCTTTTGTAGTTTTCACGCAATAAAACACTAGTCGGCCCCCTTAAACGCTGTTTGTTATCTCTATATATTTCATAACATTAGTGGTTAAGCTTATTTGCTTTATTTACTATGTTACTGGTTGAAATATATGATTTCCGCTTTCAGCTCAGTCATAAATTGAGGAAATGTCAATTAAAAAGCAGATTAAATGTCGATAAATCAAGAGTTTTATGGACGGATATATTTATGTTTCAAAAATCTTGTTTTTTTTTTTTGTTTTTTTTTTTTGTTTTTTTGTTTTTTTTGAATGACTCCTTTATTAAGGAGCCATGGACGTGGGAAACTTTTCGTTTCACAAAAATGAGATAAATGGTATTTATTTACTGCATTTTATGATTGCAAAAAGAATCAACAATGATAAACCGAGGCTATCAACACCCACATGCTGTTTATATGTTGTTCTTGTTTAGCTCGTTAATTTGACACGTTTAAAATAATAATTAAAAAATGGTAAAATAGAAAAACAACCGAAAACATTTGAACTGGAATATTTACAACCTTTTATTCGATATCTTACGTTTTAGCACCAGTTTTCAGCACTATCAATTTCGTTAGCAAATACGATTCGTTACTCATGATATTGAGATTACAAAAAATATTCCTAGTGTTAAAACCTTATGAAACACTACATAAAAAGCATGTAGGTCATTGATCTAGATATTTGAAAATGAATAATTACATGACAATTGTATATAAGCAAGGTAAGGTATGTTTTTGTAACTCTTTTTAGCGGATGTTTTTTCACTCAGTAAAAATTATCCTTTAAATGAACAAAGTGAGTATGGCATCCATCATTACAGAGTTTTCAAATTTTAAATCTGAACATTTTATTATCATGACAGAGTTACCT